TATAATCAAACAGCATGTGATTTCTGGTCATGTTTTTGAATTTGCAAGTGATCATATTAGATGTCACAAAAACAAATTTCATGCTAAAAATGCCACTTTTTAAAGACAACCAGTCATTTACCTTTTCCCTTATATAGACGTATTTTGACGCGCTTTTTGCCCCCCCCCCCCCCCCCTTTTTTGAGACCTCAAACAGTGAAAAAATGCCATATTTAGGCCCCAATACAGTTTTTCATTTGAGAAATGTTGTATTAAAAAAGTCACCACTTTTCGACGCGCCCCCTAACTAAAATAGTACATCAGGGGGTTGCCAGAAGGGGAATGTGCCCCCTTCTGTTTGGGGGGGTTTGAAGGTGGCGGTAGCCCCCCTCATCGCCAAGAACATTTTGGACATGTGACAGGCTAAACACGGCCTCATGTCCATGTCAGGATAACTAGTAACCGACGCTGAAAAGCCTTTTTACTCTATCTTAATTCATTGAGAAGTTGCAGCACTTTGAAATCAGTTTTGATGGGAAAAAAACAATGCAAAATAGTGATTTTCAGACGTTCCCCGTTGCCGTGGTAACAGAAAATTTACGATTCATGCTGTTACAGAGGTCATGGTCCAGTCAACATGTGTGCTAAGTTTCATCAGTATTGAAGCATTTTTTATAGTTTTATTGCAGTTTGAACTTGTAGCAGGAGGCTTTTCAATGAAAACTGTCATTTTTCACAATATGCTCATGGGGTAAAAGGTTAAATCCAGAATATTCACTATATCCAAGAAATCCTTGAGTTATCTCCCGTCACTAAGATTTTGCGCTAGAATTTTACAGCTAGGACACAGAAAGCAAATATTAAACACGTAGTTTCTAGTTTTTATTTGTTCTGCTGTTCTTCTTATTGAAATAAGTCAGTTTTATTTCGCATGTTAATAATTTTCATTAAAGTTTTAGAATTATGGATAAAATCTCTCTAATAACAATTTCTTATAGCCTCTACATACAAATTTAATTTTTCAGTGTTTGAATTCGCCGAATTGAGAATAAGAAGTTTGCACAAAATTCACAATTGGTAAGAAAACAAGTTCGCAGAAAACACACTTTTCTTTTAAAATAAGGTAGAAATAGCACATGTTTTAAAAACAAAAAATAATTATTGGTATCTAATATTAAATTTAAACCGAATTAAGATGAAGTACTGGCATTGGCTTTGATATTACAACTCACTATAAACATAGTAAGAAAGAATAAATAAAATATTTAAGTAAAGAACTTTGAAATTTACTCACAGATGAATCAAATTTGTAGGAATATGATTTAAACTTATGCAAATGAAAACAACAAGTAGTCAAATGAATAAATACCCCAATTCTGCTCCATAAAATTACGCTACATTTTTACGATACATACCGCGACATTACGTTTATCAATTTATGTAGAATAAATATATACATGTATATAGAAGGGAGGCGACCGAGAGTTCAGAATATAGAATTTTACATGAGCTACCACGTATGTGTATGTAGGTACAGGGTTCACAGTATATAAACCAGTCTATTTCCTGTAATCGCAAGAAAGAAACAAGTCCGACTATATAGGCTCACAAGAAGGGTACAGTGATCGACATCACTCGTACTTATTTTCTTCACGTTACAAGGTTTGTATGTTATTTTGATTTTTTAAATGCCCATTTCTTAAGGCAATGTTTTTGACACACACGGTTATAGGTTTCAACTTCTTAGTTTCTGATTCGAGGAAGTTACTGAAGATATAATCTGGTAGTGTGCATTTTTTAAGATTTGACAAGCGATTTCTATCACCGAACAAGACATAATATGTATCTGTTAATATTGAATAAATGTTTTAATTTTCATGTTCCAAACAAAAGTTAAGTACACAAACATAACTTTGTTGTTTAAGTGCCTTTGTATTTCATAATTGTATTTCAAGTATTTCTGGTTGCAAAGTAATTCTATAAGTTTTTAGTCAAATATAAAACTGCAAAAAGATTCAAAGAATATCATTTTAGTCCAAGATTTTTTATTGATAATTTTATACAATTGTGTTAATTCACTTGCTATAAAAATGTATTAAGATGGCTTTGACATTTTAGGGGTTTCTTGTACAATCTTGTCAATTGTACAATCACTCCATGTCCTCTTCTGTGTTTTTTGTATTTGCTTCGCGGTAGGCCAGTGTGACTGAATTTTGTCGGGGCTTCATTTTCTGAATGCAGCTTTGCATTGTTTATATTTGTTGTTTTATAGCTCATGTTTTACATCATAATGCACGTGCGTATTGCTTTCATGAATAAGCATTATGTTATATAACGGGAAGTGATCAAAATAGACTAGTAACTAATGATCGCTAGAGTCATTGGTTCAAACCCCGTCAGGGACAAGTCGTTGTTTTTCTTTCAGCTAGAAACTTTACACTCATTGCTCAGTACTGGTTTGTTCCAGGAACTAATTCGAAAGTGTGTCTATAAGCTTACAGCTTCCTACACAATCGAACTTAATTAAATTTTGTATAAACCAAACAAGAAAATAAAGATTTCATCAAGAACAATGCAACGCGTGGATATTGTCGCGTTACAGCTTCTGATGTCACTCGGCTAAAACAGTAAAATGTATCAAAATATGGGCAAGGGTGATCACTCGGAAGCATTAATAACAACAATATAACATGAAAATTGCAGTATCGGTTTGAATGAGTCTATACTTAAGGGGTAATGAAAAAGTGCCACATTTCTCACTCCCAATAACCCCGGCTTGATCAGTGCTAAATTTTCAAAATTTAAAGGATTGGAATAGATTATCTCGATGGGCAAGAAAAATATAACAAAACTGAAGTATAACAATATGGAATGTGTTCTTTTGCTTGTCAGCAGTTACTTATTTGTTTACATTCTGAGCTATGTCGCACTTGAAAATAGTGCATTTGATATTCACTCAAGTTGGCAATCAAAATGCACTGGAACAACATATATGTTTATGGATTGAAACTTTAATGGGAACAAGCAAATTAAAACATTTACACAGTAATGACAGAAATATATGAGTTTTTGTTCTCTTGTTCGGTGAACTTAAAAACTTAAAGATTGGTGAACTTAAAAACTTAAAGATGTGAATAAATGAGTAGAAAATCCGTCCAGAATGATCACCTGTCAAATCACAAAATATGAACATGACCTGTTTATCTCTTCAATAACTCAGAAGCTAGAAAGCTAAAACCTAAATACGAGTGTGTCATAAACATTGCCTTAAGAAATGAGCATATTAAAATATTGACAAAATGACATACAAACCCAATTACCTATGACTGTGTTGTAAATATTAATGATGCGGTAGGTATTTTGTCAAGTTTGCAACCACTTTTCTCGCTTGAACCAAGTGTGCAACCACGTCACGTTCTGCCTCTTGTAAAGGATGACATACATTTGTATTGGTCCTCCGTGCACCCTTGATTTTAATGCATATGAAAATTGGGGGAGGGGGCAGACGGGCGACGGGGTAAGAATTTTATTTTTCTACGAGTTATAAAAGAACGCAACCTTTTATTCTTAAAATAACCTCCCTGAATTTTAAGAAATATCCATATTGTTATTATATTGAAACACACAGTACCAACCAAAACTATTGCTTAAACCTGAGATGTAATTTTATATTTATTAACAATAAGTATTGCACAAAGACAATATGCTATCGATCAATATGGACCGGCAGAGTTTTCTTAAGAAAGAAAAGGTTCAATGCATTCATGTAAATTTCAAAGACAAAATTAATACACGTATTGATCAAGATCAAAGCATTAAAGATCCATTTATTATTCTTCTGTTACATGAGAAGGAAAAACTAAGTTTGTAAAAACTTACTGAGATATTAAGATTCATCTACAAATATTGAGAGGATATCCATGAACGCCGCCATCTTGTAATTATGATGTTTTATTGTAAGTTTAAAGGTGAATAAGGTGACATGAACATGAAGCAGACGTCAGAAAACAATTAACTTGCAATCATTGAACAAATGAAGAAAGGTTTAGTAACAATTTGCAAACATGTCATCATATCTAAGGTGTGTGGTAAATGGCATACTTATTTCTTCATTACTTGTAAGTACGTAGTGCTTCCCTATCCATTCGGACAAATCTTAATTTTGTTCATATAAAATCATTGCATTGTTTATTTCAAAGTTATCTTGTCCGGTGAGTTATGGCTCGTTTAAAGTCATAACAAACACAGCACTGTTGTTAGTGTTTTAAGAAATAACAAAGGAACGTTAGAACGCGACAAAACGGTTTTTCTTTGTGAGGGTCTTGAGTGCTTTTTCACACGAATCATTTAAATGTTACGACAATTTATCTCTCCAAGACGGCATCATTTATATATTTCTTACAATTTTTGGCCTAGAGGGACATTAGAAATAAATGAACATTCCATATCAGCAGCATCGATGCCTACGATTATTTTGAGCATTCCACTAAGCTTCTATCAATAAATATTTTTAAAGATAAAACCTTTTTGCTTCCGGTTTCTCGACTTTGACCCCTGTTTTTAACCATTCATGTATTAATAATTCAGCGTTGCCCTAGAAACTTTATAAGGCTTTCATTGAACGTCGCCTTTCCTTGTTGATCTCGTTTATTATATTTTATCTTGTATCTTCTTATATTCTTTCTATATTATCATCAAGTAATTCAGCAATGTCATACCGAATCTCCCTATATTGTCTGGTTCAAGAATTTATCTGGTTTCCAATCTAAAATTACTACATGTATTTGCCTGCTTCCCAGTTGTACATTAATATATTTGTATGGTTCCCTGGCGGATGTTTTACTGATAAAACAGTGAGTGGAAAGGTATTCACAAATGCAAAATCGTAGGTAATGCGATTTTTTCTGGTCGTATTGAGATATTATACAGGTAGTAGACACAGTCAAAGAAATTCTGAATCACTTGAAAACCCTTATGTCCAGAAAATGGCACATTCGCCTTTTTTACTACACGTGAATATATTTTTGTCGTTGCAGAAAATTTATCAAATCTGCAAAGGATACGACATCAAAAATAGCCATGTCGACTGATAAACAGAGAGAAGAAACAGAACTGCACAAGCTTCTGGCTGACTTAGAACAACAGTGGACAGACAACAAGACAGTGGATATAGCTAAAATCCTAACGAAGCAACTCTCTAGCTCGGATAATCCATTTGCTCTGGTTGTGTTTATATTAGACAATGCAAAGCAAACGCAAACTTTGAAAAACAAAACGTTATCATTATTTGCGCTGACAACCTTTGAACAATGGGTCAATGAACATAAAAATGGGATCGATTTTACTCAACTCCTAAGTAAAGATGTTCAATTGCAAATATTTACAATTTGCACAAGGCATCATACGAAACTATATGATTCTGCTATCAAGTGCTTCCAGCTCTCTCAAGTGAACAATGAGTTTTACCTTCAAATTATTCGACAGTTCCTAGAAGATCATAAATTCCAAGAAGCAGCCTGTTGGACAAATAAACTTGGACTGCAACATTACTTCGATATTACAGAAATCGTGCTACCACTGCTTGTAAATTGTGAAACGCTAGCTTTAGAAAATTATGTCCGTGGAATACCAGAGCTTCAAGAGAAACTTGTCCTGTATTTGGATCATCTTTGCGATAAAAAGACGGACCTTGTTTCACTTAAGCAATATATACTAATAGATGGCGTCACAAAGAAGGATAAATTTGGGATAGGGTATCTTAAGAAGCTAGCTATCAAACTTCTCAAGTTATACGATATACCGCAAGGTAAATATTCTTTTTATGTTGGTAGGATAAATCATTTTTATGATAAATTAAGATATAAAATTGCAGAAGATTCATTTGACGCTTTTAAGATAGATATTGGGGTTTTTTTTGACATGAGATTAACGTTGAGTGATTCAATGTATCATCTTAACGCTGTGACATTCATAGCAGTTATAGCCATAGCTTCTGTAAAATTATGAGTTTTACACTTAACGTAAAATTTGTAATATTTGTAATTGTAATATTTTTAATTCCCTAAAAAGACGTTTGACGGGAAGTTTGACCGTTTATCTAAGAATTTTTCGAATTGTCAATTTATTTGTTGAATTCTCTCATATATAGGAGAATCTAAATTTATCATTCATCTCTGTCGGTTGGTTGATGTTGGTTGATTTTCAATTTCATTTTGATCTCTGGTAGAAAATTATCCATTTCTTGTTCACCTATATTGTTAAGTGGGATAAACAATTTCTTCCTGGTCTCTTTTGTACTCTTGGTGGAAACTCAAATTCTTGTTGAACTAGGTGAATGGTTAAGGTGTATTTTCTCGTTGATCTCTTTTGTATGTTAGGAAATTATCAATTTCTTGTTGACCTCCGTCATACATTTTGGAATTATCAATTTATTATTGACCTCTGTCATGCGTCGAGGAATGAACAATTTATTATTAAGCTCTATTACATGTTTGGGGATTGTCAATTTCTTTTTTATCCGTGCCGTATGAATGGGAATAAATGTACCTTGTTGTTTAGTTGCACACTCAGCATAATTTAAAGAATTTTTGGGATGTTATTTGGTCCAGTGAGTATACCATTACTTGCTGTGCGGTTGTCTGGGTCTACTTTTACTTCACGACTGCATCATATTTATTACTATTTCTCTTCTTTTCAGAAAAATGTCCAAATATTGCTAATGCAATAGCTGACGGAGATATAAGATATGTAGTTATTTCTAGATTTGTCGAGGTAAGAAACCTTTTGTAATTTCTAGAAAATGTTACTGTTTGCCAGTGTGAAAATACACCATTTTAAAAGTTTGTTAAAGGTAAAACTCAGTGGACAGTTAGCATTTTGATTTCCGTAATAAAATTATTGTACAAAGCACTCTGTAATACAAGCGTGGGTAAATTTAGTCATACTATTAATATATAAGGTCTCGCTTTTTTGCAATAAGCAGAATGCGCTTGCCTTGCACGAAATGCTATTTCCGTTTCTTATTTCGTATTATAAAATGATCTATATCATTAAGAGGCTGTTTAAAAAAGAAGTAGAAATGTTGGTATTTTTATTATTTTTTCGTCGGGCACAGTTTTAGAAAGTTATATATGCTAGATAAAATGTACATTCCTTATCTATGCTAAAATAATAGAATATCCATTTTTTCTTATAAGGTGCCTTCTACATTTTTTAATTTGAGTAGTTGTTCAGATTTATTTCAGATACATTTCCATTCAAGCAACATAAATGCGGTACAAATCAGATAGCGACTTTTTAACTTTATGACTGATAAAAGAATATTTAAATTTGTTTTTCATGAACCCTAATAAGAACTTATTCCGAATACTTGAAATGTATCCAGCAATTATGTGAAAATACGAAAAAAGACTTGTATTGATTTAAATGCACAACTTTCGGGGTGATATAAAAAACCGAAATCCTTAAACATAGTACCTATTGCATGGTGTTATAGAAATATTGTAAGAATATTTTTAAAAATCAGAATGACATTGGCCATGACTGCAAAATGTAAAATAGTTTAAATGTTTTTAAATCAGAAGGACATTGGCGATGTACTGCGGGAAGAGACGGTGCGTATGATTGTAGGAACAAATGCCTATAGGAAGAAACAATTGATTCTTCAACTCGTTGTCAACAACAAAGCTGATGAAGCTCTTAAATGGGCAAACAAGTTCAACCTTCCCGATGCTGAGTTACCTTGGTCTGTTAGAAAAGCCAGATATAAACAAAAAGGGTATTTATCGTTAGAAAATAAGATGTAGCGGGCTCACTAGTTAATATGGAAATATTCACACTTAAAATTGTTGTCATATTGAGTAAAAACATTTAATCTGTGTATAGACAGTGAGCTCGCTAATGAGTATAATCTGGAAATTTATGTAGATTTAGATATACTTTTGACTCCTGAAATCTGTTGGCTTTTTCCCTTTCCATGCCTCCTTTTCTGTCTTTGCATGATGGCATTATTAATCACGACGTAAGCATTATATTTCGTGTGCATATAAAATACCGGTTAATCATATATGTTTACCACCAAAATATCGAATGGGTTGACACGAACATGAAATCAGCTTATAAGTTCAATAAATGTATAGTCTCCGAATTCCTCCCAAGGAGTGCACGTCGCACAGAGGGAATACGGCAGGCCAAGGTCAAGTCATCCTAAATATCAGGGATGTTTGGTTTATTTTTCGTGGCTATCTCGAGAGTGTCTGGTCGTGCAATATGGTCGTTGATATGAAACAAAGATGCATTTAAGTATTGTCGAACTTTATAAGCACCATTACTTATTATTTTAAATTCAGCAAAATACACACAATTAAAGGGGAAGTCTTCCGAATCGTAAGGTCAAAAAAAGAGAAAAGCTATATGTACATGTATATTAAACCGTGAAAATATTGTTTTTCTTTAGATACGGGATTTTTTTTAACATCTTGCAGTATATCATTACTACTCGTGGCTACCGCCACTCATTTATTTTTTTTTTCATATCACTGGATGGTTACACCGTAACAAAGTTCCATTATCTTTTATATACATATACATATATCTATTTTGATCAGGATTAATCAGAAAAGTCCAATGAAAGCTTCACAGTCTTCAACTTCCAGTTCCGGAGTTGGGGGAGCAGATACAGGGAGTTCTGATAGTGCCAACTATTACCATCTCAAACTTCACCCGGAGTGTTTAGTTATAGTCGACACGTTTGAAAAATATACAGATTGCATGAATTACATTACGCGTCCGGAAAGTACTGTTGGGATAGATTGTGAATGGAGACCGTCATTTTGTGGGCATGATGAGAGGTAATGTGTATATATCATCTGTTCAAAACAGGGTTGCTAAATCATGTTGCTTTGACAATCCATCAGAAATCTCTCGTCGTTGATAATGTTAATAGTTTAGCCTCCTTATCAGCAGTAAGCCACATTGAATTGAACAGAGCCCCCTTCTATGCATTACTCAATGTAAGGAATTAAATTCATCAAGCGAGCATTATCAGTTTCAGGCTAAACGAATCCTGCGAATCCGCAAAATTTTTCCTTTGAATTTTTTACACAAGCTTACTTAAATTGTACCTAATTAATGCTTCACAGTCATTTAAAATTCAAATTTAATTTTATTTAATGTCATTTAAAAGCTTTTTGTTCGGGTAAATTAATTTAAGTTGCCAAATATACCTTTGAACACATTGAAAGATTGATTTATTTAATAAAGTCATAATATTCGTACATATGGAAATTGGAGTACGAAGCCATTTGCTCTGGTATGTCACAGATGCATTTGAAAAAAAAAAGGTTTCAGGCCACTAATAAAATTAAGATTCTATTTTATTTTATAATGCACCTAAATTTTTTTTAATTCAGAAATATGTACAAAATATCAATTTTTCGTAAAATTTACAGGCGAAATAAAAAGAAGCTAAAAAATACGAAGGAATAAACTAACATAAATTAAAAGTAAATTTGGATAATTTATTAATGATATATTTTCTTTTTAAATTAAATAAATTAAAACTATATTCAAAAAGATCTGCTTAATACGAAACTTATACCAATAACATCATGTCTGATGTATGTGAAGCTTATTTTAAAGAGAATAACATTGTATTTTGTCGTGAATCATGTCAAATGTAAGTTAACAATACATAATCACATATCATAAAAAGTTAGCAAGGGCATGGACATTTCTGAATCAATTTTAACAATTTATGAATCAATTTAATGTATAATCTAAACAGAATTTCGCACATAAACCCCGAAAAATGATTTTAAATTTATTTGTGTCACTTTAAGAAATTTACTGTTTTTGTTTCGCTACTTCAATTTGCTACTTCAATTTCAAAATAAAACGATCATAACGTAATCATATACTTTTCTACATATAGTCTCTCTTTGAATTTGTAAGATATAATCATATTTTGTCAGTTTTAGATTTTCATTAAAGTCAACAAGAAATAACACAATCTTTGCAAAACGTTTCAAACGTCATTAATATGTGAATGCAAATATTTTTTTTTTTTACTTTTCTAAAATACTATAATACATTTTTACATTGAATAATAGATCTTCTATTCAATAAAACCATTAAAAATATCATAATTGTATATATACAAAAATTATATAATGTAAATCCATTGGTAACATTAGTGGCATAACAGTTTTGCGTATACATCGGTACCGTATTTTGTCTAAGGTTCTTATTGACCGGGTCACGTGAATCAGTGGGCGGAGCGATCCCTTCTCTGGCGTAATGTCAATTAACCAGAGCGCTTTATGACATTTACTTTAAATATTAAGAAACTTTAAATTCTTTCTGTATATTTCAGAGCAATCTTACCTATCGAGAGCATTTCATGATCAATAACAACTAAAATCATCTTCACCGTCCGGGAATCGAACGCGAACATTTGGTTTCTACGAATTTTTACAACAGCTTACATTATAAACTATGTAGCCTACAGTCTTCGCTTTCACTAGAGTACTTGAAGTATTCAACATTTTCACGCACTTTGTTTTGTAACTTCTTGATAAAAAGCATTTATGTGTTCTGTCGTTAAATGACATTTAGACGTGCTCAAATATTTCAGGGTTGCTTTGGTTCAATTAGCATTGAAAGAAAGAGTATTCTTGCTAGATATATTAGTTCTCCAGAAGCTATTCAGTGACGCAATATGGCAAAGCTTTGCCGAGTCACTGTTTTGTTCAAGCCATGTGCTCAAAATAGGTATGTCCAAGTGATGCTTTCTTGTATTTAGTGAATATGTATGTAAAACAAGCATAGTGTTTTCATCCTACAATAAATGGGTAAGATAATATATGTCGATTTTATTAATGCTGCACCTAAATTTATTTTAATTGAAAATAGTGTTACATACAATATCAATTTTTGACAGAAATTTACAGAGGGAAATAAAACAGAAGTATATAAAAATAACGTAAGGAAAAACTCAACATACAATTGAAAATTGTATCCAGATTTGAAGAGTAAAAGATTTATTATTTTTTAATATATTTTTGTCGTTTTTATCACATTGAAATAATTATTTTGAAAAATAAACGGAATTAGAGAATGGTCAAATGTTTGGCACACAGTTAATTATTGCTTCAGACTGAGATGAAAAATAAAATTTTCCTGGCAAACAAAGTGTTGATCACTGGCACGCCTATAATTGGTAAAACGGTTGGATAGTTGAAATCCAAAAGTTATTTTAAATAAGTATTTTGTTTTGTTTTTGGTCAATAAGGTTACGGAATAACAGGTGATTTGAAGATGATTATGAAAACATTACCTTGTATGAGGGACGTCATGGCGGGCGTGAAAAGAACAATAGATATAGAACCCCTAGCTAAGCAGGTAATTTTGTTCGTTTTTTTTCATACCCAGTTGTTTCTAGTTGCGTAAAATAATAATATTTCATTAACCGGGTATTCATTCCAGTTGTCACTAACATGTGAATTTTATTTTGTTTTCAACGAAAAAAAAATGAATTTCGCAATATACTTTCAATTTTACCAAATTAGTCATTTACATGGCGAGAGGAAACAAATGACATTAAGCATATAGTTGCCAACATAAATTGTCCAATTGAAACACTTGCCTTACTGAAGTCGGAAGGTAAATTTCCTTTTTGACAGATTAAATCAAGGTCTTTACAACCGAGTCATCCATCTGTCTTAGTGCAGTGTTATCTGTTTTTAGCTCATGCGTCATCTCAAACACTAGGTCACAGGGCCCAAAATGTTTTTAACACTCTAGAGCCCACTGTTCAGGCCAAATATCCGGGAAATTTGTCAGTACAGTTCCAGGTTCCAATATGTCTCACCTCGGGAAGAAAAAGGTTTCAAATTGGATAATTCTCAGAAGATGTGTACTGATGATTTCTCCAACTAGGTTAAACAGCCCAAATATTGTTTACATTTGCACTATTTCAGATTTCGATATCAATTTAGCATTAAGGCATTAAATCTGTTTTCCATTCATACCTAACAATATGAATTGTTCCTTGTCATAAAAAGCTTCTGAATCAATTATCTGTTGACCGGTAAAAGGACCATTTTGGACCTCTTGGTTATATGCTTCCAACCACAAACTATTTTACAGGGCAAATGTCTAATGTCATCTTTCTCATCAGATTGTGTTAAAAGAAGGAAAGACTCAGCCACATGCCGGTTCATCGATTGATTCAAAGCAAGACTGTACATTGATGGATTCAGAACAAGTTCATTCATCCATGGATTCAGAACAAGCCTGTCAATCGAATGAATCAGAGCAAAATTTTAGTGCTATTGATAGCAAAAAAGAAAATGAAACAAAACAACTAGCTCACGTTGGTAAAAAGAAAGGCAAATCATCCAGTAAGTAGTTTCCATCCAGTTAAAATGTATATGACTTGTATATGTGTTAAGTTAATATCAAATGTTGAAATGTCAGAAGGGCGATTAAATAATTCACTGTCGACGATATGAACTAGTGGGTTGTTAACAAAAAGTTGATATATGTATGGTACATAGTCGCACAGCTGGGAACAATGGGGAAATGTAAAAGAAACTTTTCGGGCACTATCCCGTTTTATTATATACAATTTTACTGAAATATTTAGGGTCTCAGTTGGTCGAGTGACAGACATAATTGACATTTTGGCAAATATTGTAATCATTGGTTGAATTTAGATAGCTTTGAACTGTAAATAAAATCCCTTTGTATATGTTTTAGGGAAAAGGATACCTTTTTTCAAAAGTAAAGTTTTTTACTCCACTATTGCTTTAAGATTATGTTGATGTGGTTTTCGTGTGTTTATTCCTATTGTTAGAAGCCATTGCGCCAACAGAGAAGGGTTTGAGCAAGATTGTGCGGTTATGTTTTGGTAAACCGTTAGATAAATTAGAACAATTATCGGATTGGGAAAGACGACCGTTGCGAGACCAACAAATACAATACGCAGGTAACAATAAATATTGATCTTATGAAAGAGAAACCTTAAGTCAATTGTAGCTTAGACTTCGTGCAACAAAAAACACTTATTTTCTATTTTTGTATGGACGCATTTTAAAATGAAATTATATTTTTAATAAGAAGACTTTACTAAGGGTAATTGTGACCAATAGTTATATTAAGTTATTGTTTCTAATAATTACAATTAGTTATTTTTCCAAAAGTTATAATGATTTATTTTTTCAGAGTATATTTTTTCTGAAGTTATTTGAGTTATGGTTTCCAATTTTATTTAATTAATTGGCATTTTCTGAAAGTAATAAAAACTAATTGTTAATTAGTTATTGTTCCTAATAAATACCGCGAGTTTATCTAGAATGCGTACTCAAATTACAGCTTCACGGCTTTTAAGTGTCTCCGAATGTATTTGTTTATCTCAAGATAAGTGTAGAAGTTATATGTGTCCGAAAGTAACGCATCGTAACATGAACCCCTCAAATATAAGAATTATCCAGAGTACTTCTTGTGCATTACTTGCACTAGTAGTGAAAGCAGTGCAAATCATTTTAGAAGATCGCACTAATTTTGGAAATGGTACACTACCGATACAACAGAATATTTATAAGTTAATAATAACAAGCCTGGTTGCATGTAAATGCAATGAAAGAAACTACAATTCCATAGAGTATATTTATTATACATTTAACGAGTAAACAAGTTTTATTTATATATAAATTATTGTTGTCAATCTAACATGACCGAAAGTTGTCAAAACCTCTTTAAGCTCTTGATGCCTATGTCTTGCTGGAAGTATATGAGGAACTGTTGAGATTAGCAAAGATTGAGAACCTTGATATTGATGTAGAACAAAACATTGGAACGACTTGGTTGAATCAAAGTAGATCGGAGAGACGCAAGACACTACATAGAGAAAGTCATTCACAGGTTTACCAAATTAATATCTTCAAGATTGTGTTGCAAGTCGTACTATTTTTTCCAAATAGTTGATGTTATTAAAGTTCTTAGAAATATTCTCCCTTTTTTGAAAGATAAAATGTACATGTTCTATATTTCAAAAGATTCAATGTTTTAAAGATAATAAAAATGTTATTTGTCAAAATGATATTTTTGATCTTTTAATATGAAATGTGTCACAACTACATGCACTAGTGGAATAGGCAGCATTTTCATGTCATATGTGTAATAAGGATATTCATTTTTATTTCATTGCCCAATATGCATATTTAAAGTAAAGGACATTATCATTAAGTTAAAAGCTACTGTACATTTCAATTTAAACATCGACTTGTTTTTCTTCAGGCAACAGACAAGGGGTCACCAAGAAAATGACAATCTAATTCTACATGCTGAAAACCATTCTTGGGACGGTTAAAAGGAATTTGTGCTTGTATGTCTTTTGTCCTCAACTTATGATAGAGGTGTATTTTGCTCTGATTAAATAACATATATAGATCTAATTAAAAACCAATTTAACAATATGAACAACCAAAGTGATTAATAAATTCAAATTTTATGTTTTAAGACTTTTGGACCTCAGTTGAGTTCCGCTAAATGAAACTTATTTACGCTAATTATTGTACATCAGTATTTTTTTTCATTTATTTATTACTATATGTACTTTTTGTATATATTTACTTACTGAATATAGCATATATTTATAATCTCTTCTCATAATGGTGCAATGCTTTTGAAAGTACCTATATTAACATGACATGTTTCAGTTTATTATGTTATCATGATTATACGTATTGTGTATTTGCCTTTATCTCAATAAAACAATAACGACATACGCTGTGTGTTTTCAAATATACTAAGACTCGAACCATTTTTATTAACTAGATAGTCTAACATAGTTGTCTATATTTATCATATAGAATTATAGGCTAGATCCTTGTCTTCAAAACAAAGTTTATCATCGTCGTCCTCTTTCACAAACCTAACACCGCAGTCGCCGACCTGAACCTTCTTGCAGTCTTTTGGTAAACCAACTAATCGGGCTAGTCGCCATCCAAACCTACGATGATAAGATAAAGTAAAATATGTTAAAAAGCAATGCGGATAAAGTTTCATCCCTTGGAAACATGAACCACAAAAATATATGAAAATTTCAGAGTCGACTTTTTTTATTCTGTGCAACAGGAATAATGAGAAACATACCTCACGCCCCCTAGCAGCGGTTTGAGCGATACTCAATTATAAACACTTGTGTTGGGATCAATGATCCCGAAATAGACCATTTCAGGGACACTGTACACATAAATATCATTGAGCAAACATTGACTTTCCTTGCTCCACTGAGAGGTTGGTATAATTCGGTGGCCACGATGTAGAGTAATAATCGGCCATATGCGGCATGAATATCTGCCCTAGGAGATAGGTAGATGAACAGTATAGCAGCCTAATGGCCTAATAACCTAACTGCATTATACACTATAAAGTACATTTTTTAAAAACTTTTATTCTTCAAAAACTTACTCGCAGACCGACATTCCGGATTCAAAGCACGTGATATTCAAGCACGTGGACGTTTGTATGTTAGAGCCAACTTTGACCTTGAATCCAGGGAACTCCGGATGAACGCAGGAATTCTCGTCATCTGATAATAGAATAAAACAATGATCAATAAATAAAACAAATAAATTTGAAAATGAGTATGTTTTGAAAATAAATCATTTTTAACGTAATAATAACAAACAATCCCACCGTTTAAAACGAGGGATATATTAATTTTATTTAGATATTCATAACTACATTTTTTCAGATGAAAATGGGTGGTTGTATTTCTGCTTATTTAATTGTTGAGATGATCCCTATGTCGTGACTAAGATAATAAAGGGCTTTATCTAAAAATAAAAAAAGAACTTATAGACATATTCCGACATAATGTAAGGATAGAGTCAACAACTAGTCTAAAACTAATATGTAAGTGAGTCCCTTTTAACAGGATTTGCTAGGCCAACACATTATGACTTGATAAATCTATGAGCAATCCCTTCTTGTAAAATTCGAAGAAGCAAAATAAAAGATATAGATCAAAATACGAGCGTTCTCTTACAATGATCATTTTATTGCGCACCTCTACGTATTTTGTATTAAGGAGCGTTCTCTAACGATGATCAATTTATAACGTGCCCCTACGAATTTATTTAAGTTTATCAAATTACGAGCGTTCTCTAAAAATAATCATCTACGTATTTATTTTAGTTTGTTAAATTACAAGCGTTCTCTAAGAATGATCATTTTATAACGTGCATCTACGTATTTATTTTAGTTTATTAAATTACGAGAGCTCCCTAACAATGATCATTTTATTCAACACCTCTACGAACTTATTTTAGTTTGTTTAATCACGATGATCATTTTATAAAGTGCCTCTACGAACTTTAATCTTATTTTTGTTTGTTAAATTACTAGCGTTCTCTAACAATGATCATTTTATTGAACACCTCTACGTCTTTATTTTAGTTTGTTAAATAACAAGCATTCTCTTTATACAGTGATCATTTTATAACGCGCCTCTACGTATTATTTTAGTTAGTTAAATTACGAGCGTTCTCTAACGATGACTATTTTATTCCGCAGCTCTACGTACTTGTTTTAGTTTAGTTACGAGCGTTCTTTAACTGTGATCATTTTATTACACACCTCTACAAATCGATCTTAGTTTGTTAACTATTAATATGAATCAGGTAAAGCCTCAAATCTTGCTCTTTGGCAGAAATTATAGTACATTATAATTAAAACCCATCGGCGGCTACACATTTTATGTGTTTAATACATTTAGAGCTTGCTATGAATGAGCCGCCTTTACTATCATTATAGAGCCGCGCAAACCTGAACGTCTGTACAGTATAGCCACGTGACTAACTTCTAATTTTCATTTCTATTTTTTCGAGATTGATATTTGAAATTTCCAAAAAGAAATTATCAAGGAGAAGACATTTTAGATATCCATCAGTTTAATTGGTTAAGTGTGTAAATAAGATAAAAATAACTGCTGACTTACCACCTTCTTGTCTCGTGGAATAATGACATCCTGATTCCACTACAGTAACAACAATACAAAATAATAACACAAGTTGTGTAGTTTTCATTTTGTTTTATTATCCACGGTGATAAATTGATAATATTACTGTTTTGTTGTGTTGCTCAATTTATATACATGTGTTTGTCCGATTAATGTCACATATGGGATTGTGTCTCGCAAATTTTTGACATCTGCTAACACTCTGTGCACAGATGGACGACCTGAGTGAGTTCACGAGTCGAGCGTGATTAATAGCGCAGTAAGGGACACGGCCTACTGAATTTTCGACCCATATATCCTATAGTAAATCCATCACATTTAAGGCTAAATTCTGGACAAAACAAATCCGGTACCGAAACTTCATGACCATTTCTTTAAACACCAATGCAGTCCAAGTAAATTTAGCACAAAAAAATAATACATTAGCCCTTGGAGTTTTTCTGCAGCTTTTAATTTCTGTAATCACTATAGAATATTCCAAATAGTAACTGGTGTGTATTCTTGTGCATAGTGCCTCATGAAACCTTCCACCCAGAAATGAAATCCTGCAAAAATACATAAAAAACAACCTTTAAAGTACTCAGAAATGAAACTTCATGTACATAATTACTAAATATATACTTAAAATATAACCAGTATCAATTAAGATGATATGAAATAGGCCATTTCAAAATTTAAAAGAACTACTTTCTAGACTACAACGGGCTGGGTCTAATTCCGTACCGGGGTGACACCTAAATGAACATAAAATTTCATTTAAAAGAACATTTACACACATTTTTTGGTAATTTTATGTTGAACAAGTAATATTAATCAAGAAATCAATGTCTCTTACATTTCACATTGATACAGGAGCATTTCTTAAAGGGTGACCACTTTGCGGAAAATCAGGCTCGGCCAACAGAATTTTAGATAAAAAAATGGCATTACAAATTATAACATATCTTCAGAAATAGAAGACAGATTTTCATGAAATAAAGTTTTTTGTTGTTGGCCAATATTGTACAGGTTTACTATGCATGAATTATACCTTGTTTGTATAAAATGGTAAAATTTATCCATTTTTTCTTAAAAAAAAGCTTAAAATTTAAGTTTGAAATAGTGAAAAATGGGCATAAAGTTTGCCATTATAATGATTTTTTCCCTAAAAATTGCTATAAAACTTCCCGATTAAGACTTTTACTTAAATTTATCAGTAAACAAAGCAAAGTATATACATACACAGACTACACTCATTGTTAATACCATCTAGAAACATCTCTATTACCCTAGTACTATATATGGCCTTTTGTAAGTAAATTCTTACTCAGATAAGGCCTTTAAAATTGTTATAGAACAAGGCAATCAATTCAAATAATTGAATAGGAAGTATTAAATCAATTTACTCTTCAAGCCCATCATACTCTTAAAAATATCATTTTACAATGGAGAAGAGACGCCTTAATAGTGGAACTTTCAAGAAAGGACACAAGATTTTACCTCCTCACTTGAACGCTGCCGAACAAACCAAACAGTAGTTCTTGCATACATCTCAGCCAAATCAGGTATGAACTTCCTCAAAACCAGTGCTTTGCTCACAGAAAAGTCTGCAAAATAAAAGATAACAGTGAACCGCAAGGGAATAAAGTGATCAATTTAGATTTAAAAGCAAATTGCTATGATGAACAAAGTTTATGAAGAGCACAGTGCTCAAAAATGTGATAAATTAAACATCAACTTACACTGTGAACAAAAACTTGGACTGGGTTCAAATTGGAGCCCAACAATGTTTGAAGGAAAAACCCTATCTGGCAGTGCAAGACAAGCTATTAGAGCTTTTGCTAAGGATATTAAGGCTAGATGCAGTGCTATTATAGAAAACTTGGCTTAAAAAAAATGGTCTCGAAGGAAATTTACATACCTTAGGCTTACTGACAATCCGTATAGCTACATTAGAGTGTTATGCTGGTAGCTGTAAGTTCTGTCCAGAGGAATCCCTAGTTTGTTCCGGTGTAGGAAATGTTGGTGATTGGTGGTATAACTCTTCCTATCTACCCACACATGGTATTCATCCTAGAATTGACAAGAAATGACCGTGAGCTATAATCCGCTATTCTGAAAATACGCCTAAGTGAGTACGCCATCAAAAGTGTGACAAGCAACACTTGAAGTGCAAAAGTTTTAACAGATCTGTGTTATCCACCCTGCCTAAAGAAATCAACTTTTCGAGGAATTTTGCGGGCAGCTTAGCTTCAAAAACTCTGCAAATTAACAATTCATTTCAAGTTTCTGCTGAGAAAAAATGTCCGAAGTATAACAGGACACTCCCTATCACCAAGAACACTTCGATACCTAAAATCAGCATCAAAACAGACTTCAAAGGCCTTAGCATTACCAAAAAACAAGACAATTTAAGATGAAAAGAAAAGAAACACGGGCAAAACTAGAACACATGTACCACCTTGCGAGAAGTGAAGGCCAGTACAATGACGAGTACCACAAAGGACAACTTGATGCAGCAGGCCCTTCAAAGTAGGGCTACCAGGAATTGATGTGGCTGTGCATTGTTATTTCAACTGAGTTATGGTGAAAATAAGCCCCGTCACATTCATGGCAGAATGTCTGATGATGACCTGATTGCCGGTCGAAACGGGAGAGCATATTTTTGCCATTTGTAAACATGACAACTGCGAAGAAAAATAAAAATACCCTCCCAACAATCATGTGAAAACAACAACAACAACAACATCATCATCACTGTTGTAACAGACTATAGACAAGTGCAATTTCTTATTTGCCATTTGCACTCCCCAACAGGATAATGTTATATCTATAGGCCTATGTATTACACTTATACACAACATGCATAATGAAATAAAATTCAAAGCTGCATATACATATACAAATTTACAATATCCTTGACTGTCAAATACATATCGTGTCAATTCAGTTCTATTTATCTATTTCAAATATGATTATCAAATGAAACTAGTCTATAACAGCTTTAATAATGACAATATAGCACTGTTTCTATATCTGCCAGCAGATGAATGACAATGACCACAGTTATTTCTACTTTATGTTCTATATATACTGACCCGAAATGAAATTGCACTTTCGAGAAGTTTGAAACAAACACCATTTTCACTTAATTTTGTTGACAATCAAAAACTTCACCCTAAATGAAAAAAATGATGTGCGCATGAAAATATGCCTGTCAAGTTTTGGCTGCAAACAGGCAGTAAACTTTCGTCAATAATGTTTCATTTTGCTTTCTATAACATATGAAATTATTTCAAATTTCAATCTGTCAATAATTTTAATCCCTTTTTTAAATTATGACTTTTTTTGCAAAGTCTTTCATTCAATACTTCATAAATATTTAGCATCAAACATAGGCACTTACTTCTTGTGTAACCACTTCCGTATTGTGGTCAACGAAATGCATGCAAATGGAGTGAAGCAAATGGTGTCTTATGGCAAGGGGAGACAACATCAATAGAAAGTGGCAGATTTTTAAATTGTCAAAATTTAATTTTTAAATAAAATTTGAAATATACAAAACCTGACTGTTATTCCTTTAAAAAATTCAGATTGCTATCCACAGCATTACCAGTAGGTGAAGTTTTCATCACTTTTATTCCAAGTAGTTCCTTAGAAATCCATTTTAACCTGTTACATTTAGGACACGGCCTACTGAATTTTCGACCCATATATCCTATAGTAATCCATCACATTTAAGGCTAAATTCTGGACAAAACAAATCCGGTACCGAAACTTCATGACCATTTCTTTAAACACCAAATGCAGTCCAAGTTAAATTTAGCACAAAAAAATAATACATTACCCTTTGACTTGGAGTTTTTTCTGCAGCTTTTAATTTCTGTAATCACTATAGAATATTCAAATAGTAAACTGGTGTGTATTCTTGTGCATAGTGCCTCATGAAACCTTCCACCCAGAAATAAATCCTGCAAAAATACATAAAAAACAACCCTTTAAAGTACTCAGAAATGAAACTTCATGTAACATAATTACTAAATATATACTTAAAATATAACCAGTATCAATTAAGATGATATGAAATAGGCCATTTCAAAATTTAAAAGAACTACTTTCTAGACTACAACGGGCTGGGTCTAATTCCGTACCGGGGTGACACCTAAGGGCAGCACCGGACAATTTCCGTTTATCTCATCCAAGCGATTTTACTAGGCCAATTATGCGATTTTGCGTTCATTGAACGCCGCCTTTCCTTGTTGATCTTGTTTATCATATTTTACCTTTATCTAGTTATTTTTATACATTTAACTTACATTACTTGATTTTTGTAACTTGTAAGTGAAATGTGGATAATTTTATCCCGATGCAAATTCTACAGAATATTAGTCAAAGAGATAAATGTTGAATCACATGGAACGAACATTTACCTCAGGTAGTTTTGTCCCTACAACCGCCAATCGCGCCGTCTTCTTAGTTGAAACATATTTGTTGCATATTAAATATAATTAGACTATATTATATAAACATTTTAACAATCATATTAATCAAAAATACACGCAATGGATTTTGACGGAAGCACTGGTTGATTATTAAAGTCAATCTGAATAATTGTAAAGTTACAATAAAGATGATACATGGCTGGTAGATGTACATGTAACGAGCTTTAAAAACAATATAAAAGAGTGTACCACTACCGCCTCTATTGATTGTATATTAAAAAAGTTTGGAAAAAAACGCAAATCTAAGTCTTGGGGTAAGTGACTTAAAACAATAGTGAATAAAATATGAGCCGCGTCACGACAAAATCAACGTAATGCGTTTGCGACCAGCATGGATCCAGACCAGCCTGCGCATCCGCGCAATCTGATGCTGTCCGCTTACCAACCCTATAACAAGTAGTGAAACTGATAGCGAACAGCATGGATCCTGATCAGACTGCGCGGATGCGGAGGCTGGTCTGGATCCATGCTGGTCGCAAACCCATTATGTTGGTTTTGTCATGACGCGACTCAAATATTATCTTAGTGCCAGTCGAGGTCGTCTATCACCCTTATTCATCATCTGTTAGAAAATCGGCAGTTGCCAGTTTATGCACAGTAAACAAAATTTTGCCAGTGTTATAACAATAACACTAGGTGCTGAAATTCTTCGGACGATCTCCTTTGCCTATCTAGACTTCGATTACTCCTGGTATAGATTTAATGTGCACTTCTTTTTCAGGCACGTCATTTAAGGTCAGACTATTATCCCATATACTTACATTATAATAAATGACCTTAAACCTGCCTCAAAATTTAGTATTCCTGCTAAAGATGTGATTTTTTTCTAGGAGAATGACATGCCTGACATATTAAAATGATCTTGTTACAAATAGGTTGACCACTAAATTTTCCCAAAGATGAACCAAATTTTCAATGAAATTTCTGCTCATCACAGACCAGGCATATACATGTACATGTACCTTTTTTAAAATTGGGATAAGCTTTTGTTTATATTCTAAAGAAAACGTCTCATATGGGATGTGACGGGAAAAGAAAGACTGCATTTATTTTAATAGCCTTAGCTTGTCCAGCCTTTTGTTCTCATAGGGGACAGGACTTAATTAAATTTGGTCTGTGGGTATACTTAAGGGCCTTTAAGTGTCCAATCTATTATCATCCTCTAGCTTCTTAAAAAATTTTGAGTAAACTTTATAATAATACAGTCATGTTATTTTGTGTTGGAGATGTTTTTATCTAAAGAGTATATTAGTAATTCCACTGTAAAGCAGGTGATAAACTGGGCTGACATCATGTTACAATATATTTAAACAATAAGCTACTTATCTTAACACCAAAATGAAGTCTTTTTTAATGCTTTTATTTAAGGTCGTCGCCGGAAAGTCCATATGGGCGACCGTGCACTCAAGTCGGGCCATACTAGAGCGTCCCGCCGAGATTTTTTCGTCGATTTTTTCCCAGCTTTTATTGGTGGAGGAAGACCCCAGGTGCCCCTCCGGGCATTATTTCAAGCACGAGCGGGCACCTGGGTAGAACCACCGACCTTCCGTAAGCCAGCTGGATGGCTTCCTCACATGAAAGATTTCGACCTGAGTGAGGATCGAACCTACAGCGGTGAGGGACCTGTGATCTCAAGTCAGCGACCTTAACCACTCGGTCACGGAGGCCCCTAAAATGAAGTCATCCTGTCATAATCAGATTTATATGCTTCACTTGTTTGGACTATTGTGTTGATCTCAGTTCTTTTTGTTATGACCTGCCTTTGGGCCCTTTTTGGGGGATTTATTTCATTTTTATAAATACTAAGTATTTGAAGTATGCTGTTTTACTTATATAATCCATTGTTTAATGATTTTTAATGAAGAAAAAACAACTTGTCATTTAAAATATATTTTATTATTTCATCACATAAATAACAAATTTTAAGCGCATGTTTTGCAAATGTTGTGTACATAGTTCATGACTTCGACGTTTGATGCTTCGGTTTTAAGAAAATAATACAAAATGCATTCACATTCATTGAAAAAGTACTAAATAAATTGCACATAAAATTTTATTGATATGTGACGAAAGAAAAACTACACTAAACATTTGCGTGTACAACTTTCTTCATAAAAAGAAGAAAAGACAATATAAATACAAGAGAACCACAAAGGCGGGACAATGTACGCCCGAATGTAAATTTCTCTGAACAATGAAATAAATCTTTCACTTAGGATAGAAAACCAATCAAGAACCTTGTCTGTAAAAAATGTTTTATCTCTATTATCCTAACGATAATGTATTTTTACTCTAAGTGCATGATTAATAAAACCCCTAAATGCGTGATTCTTAAAAGTTTATAGAGGTTTACTAGGCAATATTATACGCGAAATATAGAGTCATAGTATTTATGACATGAAGCAATTGATTACTGGAACAGGCTCAATTTTTACTGGATGGTTATGATGAATGTACCTTTTGTAAAAATATACAATTTGAAGCTGCCGGAAGCTCTGGGCTTCATACAATAAGACTTAAATGTGTTCTCAATTTTCCTTCACAAAAATATGTTGACTACGTGATATCAAGGACCTGATTTATATCAATTTAGCGACCATTTACAAGGCTATGTAACATGCAAAATATCTTAGCTTGGCATTGCAGATTTACAAATTACATAAGACTGAATGGTGTTTTCTTATACAAGACTGTGTCAGCTTTGTGACCACATCGGCGGGCCTACATTGACCAAAGGAGCTTGATTGATGCCAGTTTTTTTTAAGAAAATTAAAACTCTAAGCATTGTAGTTTCACCACAATAAGACTTAAATGTGTTTTCCTACACAAAAATATATTAACTAAGTGACACCCGGGCTAGGCCAATATTGACTCATGGGGCATTTTAATACCATTTATATTGTGGTCTACAAAGTGATGTTACGTGCCAAATATCTAGGCTCTGGGCATCTTAATTTTACACAATACGTCTCAGATGTGTTTTTACTATATAAATCAAGAAATCCCTTATAGTGCGGCCAATTTTAATCTCAGGCAGCTCGAACCTAAATCGGCACTCAGTCTCATATAAAAGTAATATTTCTGCACAAAAATAATTCCTTTGTATTTGATCAAAAAATACAGAGCAGAAACATTTTTTAAATGATATTAAAAGACTAAGTATGACCTCCTTATGATTAACATTTCTGGCAAAAAGTTCCAATTTCCTTTCATCGTCTAAAAGACAAAACTGCTAACAGATGGATAAATGAAAACCAGGAACATTAAATTATACGCCAAAATTGTTTCAAGCCTATAAAAAGAAAATATTGTCAAATGCGTTTCTTTACAAAAAAAGTCATATGTTCAAATGTAACTAAGTAATTTCTGTTTTAAAGCTGCATGCCACCAGACAAGCCAAAATATTTCAAGCCAGAAAATCAAACTTGACCAAAATGTACACTGATTTTAAGAAAAGGAGGAAGATTCAATATTCAAGTAATAGTTTGTATGTTATATGCGATAAATAACTGAGTTAGCATTTATTATCTATCACTAAATGTCTAGTCAGTTTAGTTTAGTAAGTGCTATTTTTGCATATTTTGACCTATTTTGGTAATTTACGTGAGATGTAAGTACAGAGGAAAGTTCAAAGTACTTTCTTTTTTTGTTCACTTCACAAGTTGATTTCTTTGAAATACATATAAAAAATCAAGAAAATTAGCATAAATCTGGAGGCATGCGTCTTTAAGAAAAGAGAGTCAAAATAAAAGTAACAAAAAAGTGTCAAACATAAATTACATACATAGTTTCTATTCAACGTAGTCCATGAAAAGTGACTTTATCTGTCATTATTTTACGTATTAAATACATTTATTGCTTTAAAAATGTCTAGTTCATGTGAACTTTTTTGTTGTTCTTGGTTACGCCGACGCTTACACATAGTGACGGAACATGCCGAGCTTAAAATAGCGAAATTATTTATAGATGTTGTGCATTCATCATTCATAAGTACGTTGTATGAGAAAATTAACTTTATATCCACATGTCATTCTCCCTTAGATAAAATACATGTATATCCAAAGCTGCTCTATATAAAAACAAAAACCCGTTAGATATAAGATCAACAAAGTGAAAAGAATAGAAAAACATTTTTTTTATCCTATGAAATTATTATTCCGAATTATCATATTTTTATTATATATATGACGTGAATCAGACTGTCAATTTTGTTTTGATTCTTTTTTCAGCAAGAAAACCTTTAAAAGCACATAATGGCTTAAAAGCAAATAAATCTTTCCTTATTAAGAAAAGGCAAACATAAGTTTTAAAACGTTTAAAAATTAGTTTTAGAGCATGGTAGATGCTTATCGCCTGATGTTATTCGCGCTTAATGTGAAATTACTTGTCTTAAATTAGCCAAATGTAAGCAAAGCAGTATTTTGACGTCCATACAAAATATTTATTTTAAATCACTATAACTTACTAATTGCCTAAAAAAACAAATCAACAGAAGCAAATGGTGGTTCAGGTAATTAGCCAGAACGTATCATTTTGGAAACTATAACTGTTCACCAACACAATATAAAGCTTTTTTCAATTAAAAATAAAAGCATTTTCTGGGTATAATCGATCTTTAAAACATTGTCTTGCGCAGCTAAACACATATTCAAAACTTAACAAAAATATATATAAATATTCAACAGAAGCATTCCACAGATCAAGTAAAAATATATACACAATTATTTCACCAACATCACAAAATGAGAAACTTTTTTGATCATTCAACTAGGGGAACTAAACAATCAAAAGTGAGTATCGTTTGAAACACCCCCTCCGTCCATTTCGTCTTTTTCTTCTAACTTTCCGTTCATTGATCCATATTTCACTGAACTGCTAGTTCCGTTAGATAAAGATTCCTTTGAAATATTCGTCTGTAGTTCTTCCTCTGTGTCCACGGTCTAAAAATAGAATGATAATGGCGGTCTAATAGTAGAATTATAATTTAATATATTTAAAGCAAGTAAACAACATTTTTGGAAAATATGGTTATAAGTATGGTAAAACAATTGTTACTTAACATTATAGTATGGGCAAACTCTTTGTAAAATATGGTACAAAACAAACGAATGAAATGTGTGTAACTTTGACATAAAACGGCATGTTTGTTGACTTACCGTGCTTTAGAACTCTGAAATAAGAGTTACCCCTGATTTCATGAAAGCGTTTATATATACAAAGATTACACAAACCACGCCTGAAAGTGATGACCTATATACAGATTCTTCCAAATAGAGGCAACTGCTTTAATAGTACTTATAAAAAAACGCCATACAGTTAATGTTTATGAATTCATTGAAACACAAAAGATATTATGCCGTATTGTTTATATCTTTAAACAAATCTTATTCGAGGAGGGAACATTATTGTTAACTAAGAAGATTATCTTGAAGAGACAAGATCTGACAGAAGCAACCTGCCCCCTTTGCAAAGTGTAAACTTGTGATAAAGTAACAAACCATTTGACAATAAACATTAAAGATATATCATACCCAAACTTGATATTTGAAAATACTGATTTCTATACAGGCTCTTTTTTAGATATAAAATAAACATAATTTGGAGTTAACAAAAAGAACACATACTACACTATGATATTATGTTAAATACAATATGAATACATTGGGTCATAAAAAAGACTGGCACTCTTTAAGAAGGGATCCAATTTACTTGAGCAGTAATAAGGAATGCAGAATTAACATTCGTTGAATGTCAATTCTCTTATTTAAATAAGACATATTCAGTTAGAATTTCCTAAATTTCAATAAACTACAATAAAAGTATTTTACCCAAGATGAGCATAGTTAACCATTTTATCTATTCACAGTGCTAACAGTCAAACGATCATTCAACAGTTCACAAGTAAAACATACTATAAAATTTGCCACGAAAATATGCAATAGAATTTTATTTTATGCTAAGAGGATATATCCACACATGGACTAAAATTTATGAAGCTAAAGCATAAAAAAGTATATATGCATGTCAGCTTAATAAGGAATAATGCAAACAAAGTCAAACACAAGTGATAGGAATTATGCACTAAGATATTTAAGCAGATATGGATTAAAATATCTGAATCAGCAGAAGTCAATACAGAAATATGTGATTGTTATATGTGATGGTTATATGTATTAGTTATAAGAATGGGTTATATGTATAAGTTCTATGTATTTGTTATACATGTATGTAGTTATTGTTTGTATAAATGTCTGTCTATTCGAATTGGAATAGGCGTTCTCTGGCCCTTATTCATCTAAAAAATCAATTAATCAAACTTAGAACAAATATGTCAAGAGGTTTAGGAATATAAATTTATTCACACTGAAAGAAACAGAAAGTATTTCACACTTCTATTTTTATCAGTATATATATCTACCACGTTACCAAATGAGAAAGGGCTTTTCTATATATGTTGTCAAGAAAGACGTAATTCTTGCGAATAGTAAGTACCTACGATCAGGTAAAATTGCTTTTATTGTACGTATATAAACAAGATTAAATTGTTGAATTCTTATAAAAATTAACATGAATCTGTATAAATGTTCTTAAAAGCACTTCCTTTGTACATTCAATAGCACTTTAAGATTATATTCGATTTCTTATTTTTATTTCTTATTTTTCCTTGGCGCCCGGTGAATGTAAGTTGTGTCAAAAAAAAGAAAAACATGGACCATGTGGTTTGACCGTACTGAGTGCAGACACACGAGAGCTCTTTTTTGTTAGTTTAAAAGCAACACTATATGCAAATCAACTAGAACATGTACACGTGGTGTGGTATCAGTATAAATATTAGATCAACTACACAATGGTTATACAGTATATATGCATATACATGTAGTAAATACAGATCATTTAGGACAAACTGGAATTTTTTTTCAATAATAAGAATACATTTGTTTTAGAAGCAGATTTTCTTAAATATAAAATTTGTTTCCATAAACGTATAAGAAATAACTCCTACAGGCTACAACATGCTCCCTTGATTTTTTTCCCATTTCCTACATTCTAAAAACGTCATTGGTTTATATTTTGTAATAATTCTTTAAATAATTGATTATAAAATGTTGTTCTTAAAATAATTGTAGTTTTCGTGGGTTTTTTTCTATATTCGTTTGGTTAAAGTTATTTCTGTAGCGATGCCTTTAGAATTACATTTGAGCCGTGTCACGACTAAACCAACATAGTGCGTTTGCGACCAGCATGGATCCAGACCAGCCTGCGCATCCGCGCAGTCTGATCTGGATCCATGCTGTTCGCTATCAGTTTCTCTACTTGTAAGAGGGTTTGTAAGCGAACAGCATGGATCCTGATCAGTCTGGATCCATGCTGGTCGCAAACCCATTATGTTGGTTTTGTCGTGACACGGCTATTTTATCTTTAGTAAATAGTTTGACAGACGGTCACATGACATTTTGTCCTAAATTGTCAATGTATTATCTTATACTAACCGCAGGCTTTTTCTCTTCTGGTATATTGTTTGTTTTATCTATCACGTAGATATTCTTTAATGTAAGAAATACAACGTCACATAAAAGAATATTCACATAGACACAACAACAGCAACAACAATAACAAATTTACAACAACAACAATAATAATATAATGTCGTCTGCTGAATGGCGTATGGTAATAATGACGTCGTGGAAAACAACATTTTATACAGTATGTCCTCTGCTAAAGGACGATATGGAAAGCCAAAATAACAACAATATTATGGCGTTGTTCAAACATTATCATTGCACCTGAATAATGACGTCATGGAAAACAACAACATTATTATGGTGTCTGATTGTCTGATCAATATTGTCATAAAAAAGCTGGTAAATTAGGTATATTTTGTTAAAAAATTGATTTCAATGTGAATTAGCCTATACTGAAGTATGTACATGTACTTTGTTTACAAAGAAACATTCAAGAAATTTTATATATATTCCAAAATGCATAGAACCAGATGAACAAATTTATCTGTATTTCTTATTTTATCATTTAGTAAAAAATATATAATAAAACACAAAAACGTGATTAAAGAAAAAATACCTGAATAAATAGAAATAAAAAATTTGCTGAAACCACTTACCTGTTCTATATTTGAAGTTAACCTGCTACTGCCCGTACCTTCCGGACCGGCATTATAGTACGGTGATGGACCGATTATACTCAATACCACTGGCAGAAAACATAAACCATGGAATAAGCCAAATATCACAACTAAAATGAAAACCTGGAAAAAGTATAAAAAAAAAATCCATAATTATTTAAGATAATTTTCCAGTATGTTCTAATTGAGATTAAAAAACGCATAACAGACAGACATTTATGAAAAATGAATGAATATCTCAACTTATAGCAACTGTACGAGAAAGCGTTTGCAATTTGAAAGCAAATATATAAAAAATAATCTTGATAAATTAGAGGGAAGAAAATTAAAACCGTTTTAAAGTGGTACATAATTCTGATAATTATATCCCTAAAGTTGTCTCCCTTTATGTTTCAGCCAAGGTAGGCAAATACCCATAGTGCATCGAGACTGTATACTAACTTAACCCTTTCCCCCATGAGCATATTGTGAAAAATGGCCATTTTCCTTGAAAAGCCTCCTCTTACAAGTTCAAACTGCTTTGAAACTATGAAAAATGCTTCAATACTAATCAAACTTGGCACAAATGTTGACTGGACCATTGCCTTTGTAACGACATGCTCAGTCTTAAATTTCCTGTTACCATGGCAACGAGGGGACATCTCAAAATTGCCAAAAATCACTTTTTTGCCTCGATTTTTTCCATCATAATTTATTTCAAAGTGCTGCAACTTCTCAAGGGATTGAGATAGAGTCAAAGGCTTTTCAGCGTTGGTTACACGTTACCTTATGATCAACCTGGGGTCATTTTAAGCCTCTGACAAGTCCAAATTTTTCTTGGCGAAATGGTCACTTTTTTTAACAACATTTCTCAAACGAAAAACAGTGTTTGGGCTCTAAATAGGGCTTTCTTTCACTGTTAGGGGCCTCAAAAAGGGGGGGGGGCAAAAAGCCGTCGAAACACGCTTATATAAGGGAAAAGGTTAATAGCTACTTCACATAAAATATAATATGTTTTGTAAGAACACGGATTTCAGCGTTCTGTTATGATTCGCACTTCAACATTCTGCTAGAACTCAGATATAAACGCTGTTAGGACTCTATTCAACGTTCTATTCGGATTCGGACTACATAGTTTTTGTAAGAACTCGGATATCAAAGTGCTGTAAGGACTACGGTAAGAGAAGTTCAAGTGATGAAACAACAACGCCAGTATTTGTTTTGACAGCCATGTACACACACACACGCTTCAACAAATTCTAAACACATGATGTATACTTACCGCAAAGAAAGAGGAAAGACTTTGACCAAAAATGAGAACGAAAAATACCAGAAATGTCGTAACTGCACCATGTATAATAGCGGGACCTATCTGACATAATGTACTCGTGGCACGCTCTGTAACAGAAAAAAAAGAGATAACGTTCACTTTTCTTGGTTTAAATGAATTGAATTATCTAATCATCAGATTTTCCTTATTTATAAAAGGACTCCATTGAACTTATTTTTTGCCGTGAAGGGAGTGGAAATATTTGTTCGAGAGTTGTGGGCCACTTAATTGGTCTAGGTTTGGACTGCAACATTTCAGATCATTTCTTTGCTCAGTTTTCCAAGAACAACTATTTTAATAATATAAAATGACCAAACAATTAAAAGCAATGCAACGCTTTTTCATCAAACTTGTCTAGAAATCGTGCAAAAAAGGAGTTTATGTTTAACTCTAGGTTTCTTTTATTATTATGTTTACACATTTTTTTATCATAAATAAATCACTTTGATGTCTGCTAGGTTTTCAAATTTTATGTTTGATGCTTTTCGACCTCAGTGGAGCTCTTCAAACATTTCAAGGGTTAAAACGTGCAAAAGTTTCAATAGCTTAATATGCTTAAGAAGGATAAAAGTTAAACAATACTGGATTGCGTTTCAGTTTAAAATATGTCTTAAGACCAAAACTGAGACTAAAACATAAATAGTCATAAAATAACATCTCTAATGCCCCGTAGCACCGGGCTAAGTGGTTATTTGATCCTCAACACATAAATTAAGGCATCAATGATCCAGATTGACCATAAACATATATTACTGTTGTATTAGTTTACCTTTTCTAGTGCCTGTTACTGTCATAAAGGTATAGCCTACGTGGGCGGAGAAATCCACCGCTAAACCAATAGATATGATCAGTAGTACGACCAAATTTACATCCAAATAAAAATCCCAGAAATGTAGACATCCCATAATATCAATCTGAAATGAAAAGAATAAATTCTGTCAACAACAAAGCAAAGCCACACAACAAGACCTTTAAACGCCAGTCTAATGCCGCACACCTGTGGGGCATTTCTTCAAAAATCGCATGTCAATTTATTTGTAACGCTGGTCATTTATTTAAACAGTAACATCTTTTCGAAAGAAAACTTCATATCAATATTAAAATAATTAATATTTACGCCTATTGTTTTTACGCCAATCTTCATTGGTCATTTTTAATGCTTTAAACATTATATTCACGTCTTCTGCATGTTTGATAAATTAACTTGAATTGCATCAAAAATGCAATTGGGCAGTATACTATAAATGAAAAATAAAGTTATATGACAGGCGATATGGCCATATTTAAACAGTTGTCTGCTATATAACCGTTAAGTCTGTGCCATATAACCTTTCAAAATCTATATAACTACAAATATATGTAGGAATAAAGACGATTCTAATTTTAACATACCGTAGTCAGACAGACGCACACTAAGACGAAGAAGCTCGTGACGACATCCACAATTAATAATAATGTTACTATAAATATAGCAATGCCAGCTAGTACAAAGTTCCTGATGATTTCTGTCTCCACATACTGAAAAATGAAACAAGTGTCATTATATTGATGAAATATCCCATGATGATATTTTAACCCCCGATAGGAATTTTATTTTTTGAAAAATCCAATGGGAGTTTTGACCTGGGATAGGAATTTATACCTCCAAAGACTTTAATTACCCACGACATTATAAAAAAAATTCTGTTGATTTTTTTCGCTTTTTTTGGCTATCTAAACTAACATATTGTTTCTTAATCAGTCGTAAATGGGTGTTCTTACAGTTTTAAATTAGGTGGGTTGTTTTGTATTGATCTTAACTAATATTCTCTGAAATCATATGGATTTTTGCATGTTGAAACATTCTCATGTTTAGTGATTTACCCCTTATTATGAAAATTATCATACTGTTAAATATAACGGGTAACTGTATGGTAAAACCCGATTGCTTCAGGCAAACATTGGGGCTACCCTTGATAATGAAAATCGATGAAGGACAGGGGTAAGATATAGCTTTGTTATAAAAGGAAACGTAGGAAATAACAATTACTATAACCTACTCTGATAACTTCAGTAAAAATATGGAACACAGAATATGAGAAACATTTTCCATCTGTTAGATTCGCATTGTCAGCAATCCGTCGGACTTCTTCCATTATATATTCATTTTCCCATACATCCTGTGACACTATTTGCTGCATGGGAAAATACGTCCACTGCAATATATCATGAGCAAATGAAATGTTAGATTATTAATTTAAGTATTTTGTGCTTTGTAGAATTAATTATTGAGACGTTAAGAAAGCAAATATTACATCAGAAATACATATTAAAGAAGGTAACGTCTCACAATTTGTGCTTCCATATCCCAAATAGTAAATAAATGCACATTAAAACTCGGCAAACACGGCCAAATTGAAAATATTGCTGGTGCTGGCCCGATTCGATATAGTACAAAATATCAAGTATATTGTTCTTATAATCTAAATGCTTAAATTGTAAAATTAACAATTTTTGGATACTTTGTATGATAAAATTGTAAGAACTTTATTCAAATCAGTCAGTATATCATCATCGAAAAAAGAGAAACTTTGAAATGGTAAATTGCACACACCTTTACTTGTGGTACTTCATCGTCTGTCATTTCGATATATTTGGAGAAAGGTATACCAAATGCAGTAGTGAAAAAATCTTTGAGTGTTACGTAAAATGCTGTTTTGTTTGCAGGAACTCCGTCTGAAATTTAAGGTAAAAATGCAATAGTGTATAAGTAAGCGACTTTCCAAATTGACTGAAATATACATCATTTTGTTGATGTATTTCTCAGAGAGCAATTTCAAATGCTCTGTATACATTTAGTTGATATCTATAGTTATGATGAGAATTTATAGGCAGTGCCCGTCATTTTATCTTTTAACGTTTGACTTGCTCTCGTATGTTTTCATTGTTGATATCAGTTTGTCTACTTACTGTTATGTTAGCAATAATAATATAAACAAGCAACATTAGATTTTTATCAAGATAAATAGGGTCTTCTTGCTAATAGATCGCGTTTCTACACATCCACTGTCATTGAACTTGCATTGCAATGAAACAGCAGAACATGCCATCAAATCAACAGTAAGTTAGAATAACTTATATACATCACAGGATACTTACCTTCATTACGTGTAAGATCCGAATGGAAGAATCCAACATAAAATTTATACAGTGGAATCCAGTTGGCAACCAACCCATACATGATAAATGAACTGTTCTCGTACTGTTGAACCATATTATTGAGGGCGTTAATATTTTTCTGATAATCCATTGGTCCTGTAGGGAGAAAACATACAAGAGCTGTCCGTAAGACAGCGCGCTCGACTTTTTTAGTGCTTGCCTATAATACAAAACATTGACAGTTAAGGGCCATAATTCAAATAAAATCTTTGACAGAATTACCTTCTCCTGGACATGTTTGGGAATCATGATTGTAAACAAGTATTCCAACTTTCAAATTAATATCTCAAACAGTTCAGTCAAAAAGTGGACTGGTACTAAAAACTTAACCAAGATTCTAAGTCGATAAAAGGCCTTAATTTTTAAAACAAATCCTTGACAGAGTTACCTTCTCTTGCGTACAGATGGGGGTAATGATGTGAAATAGCATTAAAAGTTTCAAAGCAATATCTCAAAGGGTTAAGGCAATAAGTGGATTTTACCCATATTCAATGTATTTTCTAAGTCAAAAAGGGGCATAATTCTGTCAAAAACCTTGACAGAGTTATGTCCTCTTGTCTGTTGATAAAGGTCGTGATGGTAAACAAGTATGGTCAGTTTCAAAGCAATACCTCCAATGGTTTTGAAATAAAGTGAGGTGGTACAAAAAACTTAACCAAGCTCAATACACTTTCTAAGTCAAAAAAGGGCCATAATTCTGTCAAAAACCTTGACAGAGTTATGTACTCTTGTCTGTAGATGGAGGTTATGATGGTGAACAAGTATGGTAAGTTTCAAAGCCATACTTGTAATACTTCTGAAATAAAGTGGGGTGGTACGAAAAACTTAACCAAGGTGTGACGCCAACGCTAACGCTAACGCCGACGCCGACGCCGACGCCGGGGCGAGTAGGATAGCTCCCCTTTTCATAGAAAAGTCGAGCTAAAAACGGATTAAAAATGTTTGTTTCAAAATAACAGCAATATCAAAATTGTTGTTAATAGGGTGTCACGGTCAGAAACAAAGTAACCCGTTTGAACGGCAACCTAAAAACCGTGTTAAACCTTTAACCGGCTGTACCAATAAATTCCTTAGATTTTTAGCATTATTTTTGTTTCATTATGAAAAGATATGGCATTTTGTTTGCATTTTGTTGTAAAATACATATCCGAATATGGTGTAACTATTTTCCGTTAGGGGTCGTACTGTACTCGATCAAATCGAAAAAAAATACATTGTTGAACAAACAAATTGTCATATATTATTATAAAAAAAACAATAAGGTAACATATAGAATCATTTTAAAACTTTTTTCGCCAATTTGTCAAATATTTAAAATACTAACACATAGTCTTGGTGCAGTAGACATGTGTGCCCTGTTATTTTAAAATCCTTCGATGCATGACAAAGTTACAGTCTGGACATGCATGTGTACCTTCACATTCTTATTGCCTACACATATTAAGTGTGACCTTGGCTTTTGAGGTAGGGACATGGGTCTTGGACGCCACATGTCGTCTTGATCTCGGTAGACTCATATGCTAGGTTATTCAAAAATCCTTTTATGCATGACAAAGTAACAGCCCGTACACGAATGTTGTGTATTGGGGACATACAGACAGACGGACGGTGCGACTTAAATAAATATGCCGATCTTCGGGTGCACATAAATCGATATTCTTTTCCTTGAACATAAATCAGTTTTCTTCCTACGCTTGGAGCAACATTACAGAATAAATAAAACTATGCACCTTGAGGTAAAGAACCATATTAAAATTGATATTAAAATAGTACCACAAAATGTTTGTATTCCTGGACCTTCTGAGGAAAAGTACAAACGCTGTGACTCAAGAAATTTCCGAGTGTACGAATCTGTGGGAAGACTACGTTCTATTTCAAATCCTTTCCTTATATTTGACACGCTCCATGCCATAACTGCCGCAAGTCCAATTGTAAATAGAATTACAAGCACCTAAAACATAAAACAAGTTAACGCTTATTAGTATTTCACCACTAAAAAGTCAAATTAAACAAATAAGATAACCAAAAGCTGCCCGTAAGACAGTGTGTTCGATTATTCTTAGTACTTGACAATAATAAAAGGGGAATGACTCTCTTTAAAGATAAATCAGATGTATGGGACCTACACTATGACGTTAAATTATCACAAAGAATAAGTGTGTGAAGTTTCAACACATTCCCGTTAGTAGTTTAAGACATACCAACTTGCACGCTCAAAATAAACCAAAGTGTGACGAGGACGCCGACGCCGGGAAGAGTACAATAGCTCCCCCTTTTTTCAAAAATCGGGCAAAAATTAAATCAGACCACATTTTGTATGTTTTTCATATGTTATACAAGTTTTGTATACCACAAGCTAGTATAATTATTGTAGATTACATTTTTAGCTTCCTTAGTTTTCTTCTAATCAATTTTTCTCTCCAGACCGACGACGTATTCTTGCATTAAAAGGAATACACAAAGAACAAAACTAAAGTAATGACAATACTGGTATTATACCAACGTGAAAGAAAATAAAGTTCTGCAAATCAATAATATTGAATAGTATCATCATTAAACTTTGTTGTTTCACACAGTTAACTTCTTCTTTCTTCAAAGAATACAACCTAGGTCAACTTAAGTAAAAAGCATAATAATTTGATTAGAGACTTTGTCAGCAAAAAACAATGATGTCTAGTAGAAAACCGAAATATCCTCGGCTATTTTTCATAATAACTTATCCGAAGACTGACGGAAAGGGCCGAAAAGTTGCAATTGGCCTCGTAGACTGAAAGTGTTTAAAGAATAAAATTGGTTTACCCTTCCAACAACGGACAATAAAACTGGAGCAAATATCTTCTTAATTCCTGCCCTAACTATTTCTGACTGGCTCCATGCGCTGGGCGTGTAGTCTGCATATACAATGCACGGAAAGCATGCATCACGCCGGGACTCAACTCGCCGCTGATTTAGTGTGAGACACGCCGGGAAAAGCGTCGATTGCATGATGAATAAAAATAGAATACCAATGGAGCAATATATACAGAATGACTTGAGCACTGGCATTTGCTGAAAATATAATATAAAAGAACATAAGACGACTTTAGCTTTTATCAATGGTATGATACTACGTCAACGCGCACCTGGTCCGCTTGGCATCATTCATCAGGTGCGCGATCAGGTAATATCCTACCATTGGTTAATGACAACATTTATATGTATTCGATTTATGTAATGATAATAAGTTTCTAGTTCTTCAAAATCATTGAAACTTATGCACATGTTATATAAATTTGATTACAACAAAAATGTGTTATATGATTGGGTATTGTTGCACTTGCAAGTAAACCCAGTATGTAGACTAAATTAATTCGAGATGTATTGGTGTGTGATCATTGCCATCTTAAGAGATACTCGCTTATATATATTTAATTTTGTAAACCAAAATTGAATATGGACATTCATTGACAAAATGTTATTGTGTTGAAACTGTAATTGTTTTATTCTATGTGTCACTTAATGTATTTATATTATATCAATATTCTTAAATTTGTATTATATTTATATTTATATACTTATAGTTTGTGTATTTACACAAACAAATTGATAACCTATAAAAGAGTTGATTCTACCCACAATGGTTTTGAAATTATACAAAAAGGTGTCCCAAAACACAAAGTAAATTTTGACCAAGAGGTCTTTCTATATCAACAATGTGTACAAAATAGTTTCATAGCCATTAATGTAAAACTTACCGTAGATATACCACAAGCGAAAGCAACTAGATCAGAAAATGACGTCACAGTAACAGAGACGCCCGCGTGCTGCATTGTGATTGCAATTCTTTCTTCTATGGGAAATTGCTTGTTGTGTTTGTTAATACGGTTCCATGTAGTTATTATTACAAATGCGTCATCCACTCCGACAGCTATAATAAAAACAAGCATTACTTAATAATTATAAAATGTCAAAGAAATTTGTTTGTAGATTTTGAATAAAGTTTATCTTAAATTTTAATTTGAGCGCTATTTTTACTCTACATAAGTTCGGGCACTGGCGTGCAGATACCTAATACCAACACTGTACTGTTACCGTATCCATCTGCATTGGGTGTACGATTTCTCCTAAACACATTTCAAATGAAAAAGTCTCTCAACTATACTACAAAAAGGAAAGAAAAAAACATGAAAACATTCGGTTGTCTTATTGAACGCACCCTTTTATATAAATCAGATAGTTTCAGTTCCAATGTGCTTTCTATAAATTATTTCTCCTAACGTTACCTTTCTGCAAGACTGAAAACAATAAACGTCCAAAAACATCGACATATAGATGCATACAATTATCGTCTGTGAAACAAATAATGTCAACTGGAAATATCTGATTGTACAATAAATAGAGGATATTAAATGAGTGTAAGTTCAATACTGAATTTATTGCACGAGTTGAATAAAATTATATTGTGCGAGTCTCTGGCGAGCATAATATTATTTTATTCAACGAATGCAATAAATTCAGTAATGAACTTACACGAATTTAATATTCTATTTATCACATACCCAAAATAAAGACCGTTTAAAGTGAAATAAGAGTCATTTTTCATTGACGCGCCTATAGTATAACGCTAACATTTAGCGCATCTTTACTCTTTGTTTGTATAACGCTAATGACGTCACGTCAAAATATATGCACGGCCGTGCAATACCATATTTACAGAGTCGCAAAATCGGCACGGGTGTGTGATAAAATAATGTTTTAATGTTTTAATTGCAAAACGGGCAATTTTTATTGTAAAACAAACATTTGTTGACAGTAAAACGGGAAATTTTTTAATAGTACAAAACATGCGTTGAGAGACTTTGTAAAATGGACACTTATAATAAAACCAACAACCTTTGGATTTTAATCAGTTAATTGTATAAAGGGCAATATTGCAAATTGGGTAGTTATGAAGCAGAAAATCATTGATGATAAATATAGATAAAAAGCTTATATAATAATAGTATATGTAGGCAAGACTGGAGAACACTTGCCTAAAAGTAGAAATATAAGTGCTTGATGGGGAGCACCAAACAGGAACCCAGCTGCCATACCAAGACCGAAGCACGCCCCAGTTGACAGGATCACACCAAGTACCGCAGCTATGGTAAGGTTAACCTTGTGTGAAAATATACAAAAATAACATTTGCATATATATGAGCCATGCCATGACAAAACCAACATAGTGCGCTTGCGGCCAGCATGGATCGAGACCAGCCTGTACATCCGCGCAGTCTGATCAGAATCCATGCTGTTTGCTATCAGTTTCTCTCCCAGTTGTAAGCGAACAGAGTGGATGCGCAGGCTGGTCTGGATCCATGCTCGTCTTCTGGATCCATGTTCGTCGCAAATGCACTATTTAGGTTTTGTCACGGCGTGGCTCATATATGCGTGTAAAATAATAAACCGCAAAACCGAAACATCAGAAACTTGAACGATTTCCATATTTTCAAGGATGTTTGGTTTTGCGGTTCTCACAGTACATAAATAAAATGAGGATACAAGTACTACATTTTGTCGAAAACACGGAAATAAATAAAAAAAAATGTGAAAAATAAAAATAGAGACACTATCAAGCATCCAAATTTAAGTTAGAAATTGAAAACTTAGGTTGGCAAGGTAGCGGATTTTCACTAAATCTTACCCCATGCTCGAGTAAATTCGGTTTTCCAAGCGCCAAAATGATATAGAGTAATACCACCGGAAATCCATAAACAATTAGTATGATATCACCGTACACTCCGTTAAAGAACTCTTCTGAATATCTGTAAAAGAGAAGAAAATATTTAAAAGTTTGCAAAAATGTTGAACACTTCAATGAATCCTTAAAATTGCAATATTCCTTCAATGACCATGTTCTGCTCTTTTAAGAATATACAATGAAAGTACATGAGCAAAATATTGATGATATCATATTCTAAAAGTTAAATGCAAGACCATTAAAACAGAATAAAATATTTCTTTTCTCTTAACAGATTAAGATTTTTTTTTCTATCCTTTAGCCAGTAAATCGGAAAAGATAAGCCTTTGTCAACCGTAAAAAACCGTAAAGGCCAGCTTGCACAACTGTGTGCAGGCTCTATACTGTTCACAATATAACTTTACGGTTTTATCTTGGAGTCCAGAATGCTTTTGGGTTGATCTAGAAATGGAAGATGGACACGTCCATTTCATCTAGAATGTCAAAGTTTTGGAAATAGAACTGGGTGCTTACGAGTCCATTGTAAAAACATTTATCATGTCGAAATACGGATGACCAGAGAGAGCTAAATCAATTGCTTTGTACTCGAGCTTTTTTGCTGTAGGTCTTAACTGAAATAAAAAGAAAATGCTTTTAAAACTTAAAAAAAGAGAATACATGTATATGGTTCTTTGTTGTAAAAGTTGTTTTAAAGTGCGTTGTTGCAATAAATAATTTTGAAATAAAGGTGTTAAATCCCCCATCTCGAGTAGGTCCTACATACAACATTTAAGGTAGTGTGAAAATAGTGAGCTGCTAGCTTTTTAGTTGACAAAATGTTCTGTGTTTCTATAAGTTGATTTGAACTAACAATCCTTTGTCTGAAATATTGCAAAAAAAAATCTACCATTGTAAGTTTGCTCCTCCCATTTCTATTTTTAGCAAATCTTTGAATTTAATTAAATAGTTAATAAGAATTAAGCGTTTGATTTATTGATAATAGCCAATCAGCGTTCATGATTTGTGTGACTATAAATAACTCTCACCTCGAGACTGGATTGAATGAACCAATCAGCGTGCATGATTCCCGCTGCGACGATATGATCCGTAGAGTTATACTCAATCAGTCCTAACATTCTAGTCGCGTTAAATGCAAAGAAATATGTTGGACTGAAAATGAAGCAATGTGAGATAATAACGATATATCAATCTGGCAAAACCATTCATTATTTTAGATAAAATTTCAAAATATTCACTAACTGAATAACAAACATGGCAGACCATGAAGAAGGCGCGAATGTGTTGCCTGATCTTGCTCACTATTTGTCGCATGGGTAGCTGGGTAAAGGTGAAATAAATGGTATTCAGTGTGACAAAATGACTTTTAATTTCTCTTAGAACAGAGCTAAATTTCATTCTATTACATTAATATTTGTATCCTTATAAGCGATTTTCTCCTGTAAAAGTTTAAAGAAAGTATATTTTAACAGACGAAGTGTACATAATTGCCTATTTCTGACCTCTTTATTTCTTTCATGCCTCATTAAAATGGCAACAACTGATGCGGTTTATTTGGAAGTACATGATTGATGAATTGTTTAATCATTATGACAATCTATTTTCCCAATCATTGTAAAGTGGTTTTCATCCGTCTAATTGACATTAAAGAATGTAAAGAATGAATTAATATGTAAGAATATGATTAAATATTTCAAACGTATAAAAGCAATGGTGTTTATTTACATACAAAGTAAGTACCGTCAAAATAAGCATATCTTGAACATACATTATTTTGTCAAATTCGGATATTTCCGTTATAAATATAGACCTTTTACCACGCGGTCCGTTGAAGGGTTTTCTCGCACATAAGAAATATCAAAAGATAATATAAATCCCTACCAGCTTATTTTCAATTGTCCACTCGGGAGTGGGTGATGGGATACATTTATAAAATGTAAAAAATATGTAAAATATACAGACATCTAATAAATGTAGTATATATCGACTAAAGACCTATTTGCACTAATTTCGCTTTTTAACGTTTTGATGGATTGTATAATAAATTGTTAAATAGTGACCTATACATTATACATGTACATATATGAGAACATATAATTATAAACATATACACTAAAATAATTCATCATCCGCACTTCGTTTAGTACAACATGTATATTTGTGAATTGAATTAGCCAAATCGATCATAATAGAATCGTTTTACTTAAAAAATAACTAAAAAAACACAGTTTATTTTTTCCTTTAAAGGTCAACCAGAGATTTATAGATATTTATAATGATTCCCTTTTTATCGTGTTAATAGACTAGTTCCAGCGAAAATCGCGGTTTTATGTGTACATGTTTATCAAAATATTTACATGCGTTATACTCACTTTGTTTTTACCGTGTTAATGGAATAAACAATGTCTTCATCCGTCAATTTTTCTATCTTCCCTCTATCATTTCCCCACAGTGCCAAGAGACTGTCAACAAAACATCTTCCACCAATCCTGTAACAGGTAAATATAATATAATACATAAATCACCTTACAGACTTGTACAAAATGTAGTCTGAGTGTTTACTGGTATATTAGACTAAAGACATACCATATATAAAACTAAGAATAAAGTTTACTTAAAATAAAGTACGCTAAGACTCAATTATAATAAGACTAAAGTATGCTAAGAGACAAGTATACTAAGAATAAAGTATGCTAAGAGTCAAGTTTACTACGAATAAAGTATACTAAGACTCAAATATAATAAGACTAAAGTATGCTAAGAGACAAGTATACTAAGAAAACAGTATGCTAAAAGTCAAGTAAACTAAGAATAAAGTATGCTAAGAGTCAAGTATACTAAGAATAAAGTATGCTAAGAGTCAAGTATACCAAGAATAAAGTATGCTAAGAGTCAAATATACTAAGAATAAAGTATGCTAAGAGTCAAGTATACTTAGAATAAAGTATGCTAAGAGTCAAGTATACCGATAATAAAGTATGCTAAGAGTCAAGTATACTACGAATATCGTATGCTAAGAGTCAAGTATACTAAGGAAACAGTATACTTAGAGTCAAGTTTACTTAGAATAAAGTATGCTAAGAGTCAAGTATACCAAGAATAAAGTATGCTAAGAGAAAAGTACATGTATACTATGAGTCTATGATTAACATACCCTTATCTTATAACCAGATTTTGCTTTAACAAGTCAGCCATAACTTTTTGATTTCCAGAAAATTACATCAAATTAAACAATGAAGGAGATGACATTTTCAGCAGACGACAATTTTCCCAGCATGCAAAGGGCTAGAATAAAGTTGAAAACCTACCTGACACACATAGATTCAAAGTTTTGATCCCCCTCCACGGTCAGCTCCGTTATTTGCACATGAAAATCGTAAAGCTGAAATGGGTAACACATATATAAGGTCAATATAGAATAAAACTTTGCACAATTAAGGTATATCTTAATTAGAATGTACTAAAACATGTTTGGGGACGTCCGTGGCCGAGTGGTTAAGGTCGTTGACTTAAAACAACTAGCCCCTCACCGCTGTCGGTTCGAATCCCGAGAGGGACTTGGAATTTTTTCATGTGAGGAAGCTATCCAGCTAGCTTACGGAACGTCGGTGGTTCTACTCAGGTACACGTTCGTGCCTGAAATAATGCATGGAAGGGCACCTGAGGTCTTCCTCCACCAGTAAAGCTGGATCGTCGCCATGTGACCTATACTGTGTCGATGTGACGTAAAAACCAAAAATAAAAACTTGTTTGTTTAGGCGCTTCAAAAATATTCTCTTTATGTTCTCTATGAACTCAAAGCAAACTATTTAACGCAATGAACATGGATCATTACCGCTTTGTATGTAGGACACTGTGTATAACGTGTCCTATAAATAAGAAAATGTAGAAACCTTTGACACATAAGATATGAACTTGTGGAAAATATAGGCCGGTAGGATATTGGATACCAAGGGTGAAAGGAATATAGGCTGTGTATTCATTCGGCCGTGGAGATAGCTGCATGGGTACCGAGGCTATGTATACAATTGCCCGTTAAGATAGCTGGATACCAAATGTGAAATGTACTAGTACACCTTAACATGCTATAACATTTCATTAAACGTACAAAGGTAATAATAATAGAGGAGAAACAATATTGTATACCGACACTTTATTTATTTTGACCCATTAACTTAGTCGGGCGAGACCAATCTAATATTTAAGGTATTCAGGAGACATGGTTATTTTTCAGTTTTATGTCTAAGAGAAGGTTAATTTTAGGTTCAAATACAAAGTTTCAAATACTGATATGCCATTAAATTCTAATGCATATACATGTATACATTCAAACTTGTAAATAAAGCCAACTTTAAGATTAAAACATCTTTAAATTCGCAATTCGTTCACAATTTGGATAATATTATAACGTTTTAGGAGTAACTTCTTAGGTTTTTGTCTCATATACAAAAGGTTTACATCATATACAAACAAGTGTACACAATTTAAAACAGTTCTATATCATTTGATTCGAGACGAAACTCGGAACTCCTAAATAGTCCGAGGTTTGGCGGGAATGGCCGAAAATGCACGATTGACAGACGATTTTGTACCAGTTCAGTCAGAACGAGGCACCTTTCATTGCCTTTACTAACTCATAATTATAAGGTTATTTCATTTTCTGACAGTCATACCGACTGACAGTTGAAACATTTGTTTGATATGTGTTTTCCTAATTACGATCTTGCATGATTGTACAGCACTTAATCACCTTTCCCCTTTCTGTCATGAATATGTAAATTAGTTCCGCTTGATGACAATGAAATACTGCCATGTGCACGTGACATATCTAAATTTTTATACTTCTGATTTATTTTAATTGTTATGACAATCTCTACTGACATGTAAAACAGGTTAACTTCAAAGCCAAAATGCAATGCAAAAAATAAGCATGTTTTTTAAGCATGAGTTTTTTCGTAGCTGGTCATATTTTTTTCTTGACTATAGATAGAAGGCAATAATGCGAGTTTTAAAAGGGCACTTAGTTGCAGTTAAATGTTCTTTCTCTAAATTCATCGCAACAGTTTGGCAGTGTTTAATAAATGGTGTTCATATTCTACCACTGTTAATGATGTATTCATGATGACTATTCTTAAGTCGAACATATTTTAAAACAGTGTGGTTTCGAAGTATTAAAATACGTGTGTAAGAGTACTAAAATGTAAATTCGATTTGTTTTCAATGGTGGTATAAACGTTGAGGAAGCTGACCGTTAAATGAGAAAAGCTTGAACACAATCTAAACAAGAAATATGCCCATTAACAAATACTCCGATGTTGCATTGAGTAAAATAGCCTTTTTAAATAATGCAATACAAACACTATAAAAGAAAACAGAAAATAATAAATTACATTAATATTAGATGTCAATATATATATAAAATAGACCTTAAAATATGTATTATAAAGTTTCAAATTTTAAAAATGTATTTACCCATTTGGAAATGCGCAACTTTCAAATATCTACCTATATTGGCTCTGATTTCAAAATATTTGAAATACAACTTTCATAGGTCCTTAAAGAAATGTTATAAAATAATTTACCGCCAGCATGCTTTTCTTCGTCAGGACATTTGAATTCTTCAAAATCAATCTGATTGGTCGTTGCTCATATGGCACGTGATCTTGAACCCATGCGCGGTCAGCGAATATTCGAGAAGATGGCGGAAGAAGTAGTTCTGCGAAATCTTCGTTGAATTTAAACTTGATCATTCCAATTGACAGTAAAATTGGGACAATGATGCTGATGACGATTGTCTTCAGAGGGTTCCTGGCAATCGTTAGACCAATTCTGAAAGAGTGAGACGAAAATTAATGTTGAACACCACGCTAAATACCGGATTCTGGAATTTCCGCTATTTACCGCACAAGGCCCTTGAATGATTAAATGCTTAGGTCTCGCCTTTCCACCAGCCGAAATGCAATGTTAGACGTCTAATTCATCTATTCAAATCGATTTATATATGAAAATAAATAAAACATGTAAAAATCGGCTACAACATTTTGTGATCATGATTTCTGCTAGCGTCTAGAGGTACTGCTCCAACACTGTTTTAACGAAAAGGATTTGTTTGTCGCAGTTCATTTTGCATGTATACATTGCGCTTTTTAACAACTTGTAAATCAAAATCATTTAATTATGAAATGATAATTTGTTTATTTCTACAAAGTCTTTGGTCATCTTTTGCTTTTTACACAATTTCCATATATATAAAGTCAACAAAGTTTGTCAATTTTTCCAACCGTAATATTTCGTTTGGAAAACATTGTATTTAACAGTATTTATGTTCCTAGATTTTAATTCGGAAAATGGCGAAAGATGCAGTTGTTGTTTAAACATATAAAATCGTTATATCTTAAACATTCAACTTAGTAACTTACTTATAGAAGATTGACTCGAGTCCTTTTATCATAGCATTTCTTAGTTTTGTCACAATGCCTGGTGTTGGTCGCTCAGCTTGCGGATATGGTTCAATTACACGTTGTAAGCTATTAGTGTTTCCATTCGAATAATCGCTTTCTGAAACAGGATATATTATTGTAAATTTAGTATCATAAATAATATGAATTGAAAAAAGAAACTACTTAAAATTGAAATTGCCAATTTTCATAATAGTCTAAAATATAACATTTAACAGTACTTTTCCAGAGGATTATAGTCAAAAGTCAATCTATTATTACTAGATAACAGATTTATCCGGAACTCGGCAAATGTGCGGTTATCCAATCAAATTACGAGGAACAACTAAATCAAGGTATTATAATACTGCACGTTTGTAACGTCGTTTTTCATTGGATAATCGTGACGTTTATATAGATTTATATAAACGGCTGCTGTCAATTTAAGAAGAAATCTCACTTTTTTCCTCTAAATAAGCAATTTTGCTGTATTATAAATTTGTTATAAATATGCCTTACATGACCGCATTTAAACGTTTGTTTGCAATAGAACCGTTTATATAGGACCATATAACCTAGAACCGTTTATATAGGACCATATAACCTGTCAAGAATTGTATAACTAATGATATAAATCGAAAAGACACGGCAAAATATGTCTTTCCTACTAGCTGAAGTTTTGCGGACAATGTTCATTATAGTAGATGAATAGCACGTACCAAATCCCTTGTTGTCCATTTTAAATGTTCAGAAAGTTCTCACTTGATGTTAAGCCAATGTTCCCGAATCTACCGTCATTAAGTTAAATCATCATCACCTGAAAATAGCAATTAATTAACATAAGTATTTCAGTTGAAGATTTAAACGACTTCCGTTTATAGGTATTATGAGTCGGAGTGATATTTGTAGTTGATTTTGATAAAAAAATCATCAATCACCTAGTTTTTTCTAGTAGATTTTACCACTTTCAGTTACCAATTGCTGATAAAACTCCAAGTATTTCTTTAAACTTTAATGAAAAAATATATCAAAAAAGCACTTAATATAAAAGGAAGAAATTTGTTAATTTCCAATAAAGCGGATGGACGCCTACGCAACATCACGCCTCTTTAAAAACGTGTTTGTTAATCGTGAATGTTTCATTCTATTTTCCTGTGTAATTCATGTGCGTTAGAATTAATGCATTTAAAAAAACTATCTCACGACATTGCCATCAAAATATGAAAACAAGTTTTTTGAAGTTTTATTGTGTATTTAGCTAGTTACAGCTTTATGTTCTCTACATCCAAATCATTCAAGGGTATGCTAATTATGTAGGAAGATATTCAATTTAATTGTATTCAAAATATCATTTAATAAAAGCAAATTCGTTTCGCCCCTGTAATTTATACTTGCAAAGCCTTAGTGGGGCTTTTTTAGTAAACGCATTTCAAAATTGATGATCATTTTAATTCAAGGGAATTTTTGCCAGCCTACTTACCGCTTTATTCAGGCGATACACATGCGTATGAGTATATTCAACGTGGATGATCTACTTTGACAGATCAGAGTTATAGTTTTATACTTAAACTAAAAATCGCATAAACGTTGCATTAAAAACAGTTGAAATCATATGATTTTTGATAATATAAGTTCAGATAAGACAAGACAAGATAAGATAAGACAAAAGACAAGACAAAATAAGATAAGACAACAAGATAAGATAAGATAAACTAAGACAAGACAAGATAAAACAAAAGACAAGGCAAAACTAAGACACGATACGACCAGACCATACAAAAGACAAGACAAAAGACAAGACAAGATAAAACTTATATATATGAATTTCTCATTATCACTATACATTAGAAACCTGTCATACTCGTATGTTTTACATATTTCGATATAAAGCACTCTCTTATTCGCAAATAAAGTGGACAGTTAACAAGGACATGCACCTCATTTTCATTGTTATTACTACAATTAAAACATATTCTCTCATTAACTGGCAAAGCTTCATAACGACCAGTCTCAATTTTTTAAAGGAGCAACTCTCCATCTAAATTTGGATTATGCGCCACTATAATGCCTCTTTACTATTTCTGACTGTGTATAATGAATGATCTGTACGTAATGCTCAACACCAGTAGTTGAATTTGTTCTCGTTAACCAATCACTTCTGAAATCAAGAAACAGTTTGTCTTGCAACGAGTTCATAATATTTGATCACTCACACTGATTATAGTATTCGTTTAATAACAATGATTTATCACGACACTTTTGTATAAGAGTATCTTTTTCATAACACCACTTTTTCATTTTGTTGACCATTTAAATCTATGATTATTAAGTCTTGACGATGACGTATAATTTAACCTTAACCAATGACCAAGTACAGATCGCCATTTAATTATCCGAAGGGGAAGCAATCCCATTCCGCCGGTAACTGCGTCGTTCGGAGTATATTTGCCAACGTAAACTGCGTTGAACGCTAAGTATTCTCGGGTTCAGTTCTCATATTGCTGCTCCGTAACTAATCTTTGGCCACATAATACTGCAGTATAATTTAGCATAAACTGCATACGGCATTCCGCCCATGAGTTTGAAATTACTGGTAATTAGAACGAGAGCACGAGTAGCTGATTGCGCAACGTAGTTGGCGTAGTCTTAAGACTCATAGAGCATCAATCCCAGATATTTATATTGCGCTACACATTATGTTTCGTTACCTTGTAAGGTGAAATTATACCTTGTTTTCTTCATATATGGGTTACGGGTATGCATGACTTTAGTTTTGTCAATGTTTACACACATTCTGTATTACATGTGCATGTTATTTACGCCACATATCATAATGTATAATATCATTTTCATATCAAAACATTACTTGACGAATAACAATACATGAAGTTTCTACAAATGACATTTAACATAATCTCTATAGATCTAACAAAATTTCCATATAGCACATGGAACAATGTATTGTAAATTTTGTACATATTCTTTAAACTTTCATCGCATATTTGTTTCCACTTGTACTTTTAATTAGCATAGCTATATATATAGATTTTGATATCAATGATTTCCATTGAATTTTAGAAGGAAATTTCTCATCGTTTATGAAATTTGTAAGCACGCTGGTAAAGCCATATTAACCTATAATTCTATAAATGTCTGGCAAGAAACCTGTACATTTATTGAGGGGTTGAGTCCTATTTCCACTCTAACGCATCGATGGCTTACGGTGCTTTCAGCGCTTTGATTGTACATTGTACACGATAAAATAAATGAAATCACATAAACATGTACATATATATTACGACCGAATTAAAGCATAACTTTGTTTAATAAACATTTACTGCGCCCAATAAAAAAACTTTTTAATTGAAATACAGTAGTTGTTGATGGTTTGATGGTTTTAATCATTAGAATATTATATATAATGCTTTATAAAATACCTTTATAAAATGACTAACAGACAGCTTATCAGAATGTGTATGAAATTAAATAAGCTGTAACTTGGTCGTTTTTTGAGAGATGTCCCCGTAAATAACGACATATATGTGCAACAAACATTCATTAGTTTTTAAAAACATGCATATTTAATGTGTATGAGACTGAGTAAGAGACATAAGGAAGCATGTATGGGGCATCGGAATGAAGAGATGTTGTCGTATATAAGAAACATCATCTCTTTATTCCGGTGCCCCATACAGGCTTCCGTAGTTTTGCAAACACTATTACAATCTTGTTGCATTCTCCGAATCAAGTAGAAAAATCTTAATTTCCGTACGGTTATTATCGGGGACGTTGTTAAAAATGATAACTCATCACAAATAGTCCATTTACGTCGCTCTTATCGTGTTTGGTAGTGACAATATAACATTAACGTTACTTACACTTCCGCGTCAGTTTACTTAATTATACGCAATAAAATATAGGTAACTAGATCAACAACTTTTATACACATTTTATAATATAACGTATATATAATTATATAAATCACATATATAGTTATTTATAACATGTTTATCGCTCATTTCTTACACATACATGTATTTCAATGAAATATACCGAAATAAGTACATGTTTTGATATTCATACGTTGGTTGGTTAACAAATTCTCGGAAATCTCGTCTCAAAAATATATATTTCTTTATCAAATCACATAAAAACTGGTGAACATGTTAAACAACTTATTTTCACTTTCATTACAAAGACAGACTATTGTCATGGATTTATATTAAAAGAGGACATGCATGAAGGGGAATTAAATAATAAACTAACTAACTAATTAATTGAAAAGTTTATCATTTGGAAATGATCTACATTTATGATCTAATAAAACGGCTGAACCTCTATGAAAAGTATTCAGTGGTTGTGGTGATCCACGCAATACGTTAACCAAAAACCGAATCTTATGTAAAAATGTGGTTTAATTCAGAAAAAAAACAATCATTTAAGAGCAATATGTCTTCACCAGTGATATATAACAAAGACACCGAAGACTTGTGCGAAGTTAAAATTGTTAATGGGATATTAAGTTAAACAAAAAGACTAAGTTATTGCTGAAAGTAGAAAGTCGCAAGACTGTTACTTTAGAGTATTTAAGATGTGAAACAACATTGCATGGGCTTTTCTTAAGTAAATACAGATCTAAAAGCTACTTATACCTTTAAGCAAGAAAATTTCCGATTTATATTTTATTTTTTACCACATTTTATGAACGATTCTAAGAAAATCGTTCATGTACACGAACATACAAATGACGTGATAAATGAGCCTAATAAATATATATATTTTTTACACAGATATAACGAATATAGTGCAATTCCCTATGTCGCAGGCTGAGGAAAAAAATGAGCCGCGTCACGACAAAACCAACATAATGGGTTTGCGACCAGCATGGATCCAGATCAGGATTCATACTGTTCGCTTACAAACCCTATAACAAGTAAAGAAACTGATAGCGAACAGTATGGATCCTGATCAGACTGCGCGGATGCGCAGGCTGGTCTGGATCCATGCTGGTCGCAAAACCATTATGTTGGCTTTGTCGTGACGCGGCTCAAATGTGCACCCTGACCGGGACTCTTATCCGAAACCCTTGGAATATCGTACCGCGGCTCTACGGACTGAGCTATACGGTTGCGAAACACTATCTCCATAAATAGTCAAGAATTCTGAACCATGACACCTACAACTGAGTAAGAAGATCCGGGTACATATAATGATACATCTATTATGCCGTAAAAATGCAAAATTTTGTTTTACATGTATTTTGCATATAACATTCAAACCACCATTTGAATAGCAAAATATTTATATAATAATGTATGTCCATTTACTCGATTTATACCCGGTTTTTACGATTAAAAAAATCATGAAGGTTTAAAAAGGAAAAATATGTCAAGCAGGTACATCAGGTATTAGGTTCGAATAACGCTTTAACCTTTCAATAGCTTTGAATCCAGGATAATACATTTAAAATTAAATTAAGATATTTTGATATACAAAAAAGTGACCTATCAATAGTAAATGGACTGATACATACTGGGTTGCCTCTTTTTTGACCATATGATGATAATGATGATGATGATGATGATGATGATGATGATGATGATTAAGTATCTGTTCTGTTCTGTTCTATACTGTTTAAATATTGCGACCTGATGATATAAACTATTTTTTTTGCAACATCATTTGTCACAGTTACATAAACACATAACATAACTGTTTAACAAATAAATTATCATTTCATTAAATTAGCATAATAGATAAAATTATGGAGTTTGATATAAGTACACACATAGGTTAAAATTATGAAAAATCATAGAACTATAAGCTTATGACTACAAAAAGCCAGACACATTATAACTAAGCACAAAAGTGCTTAAAATCATTAGCATTTTATATTGTTGTCTATAAAGTTAACATAGATTTAAAGATATTATAAAGGAGGGTGAAAAAATATTATTCAGGTGGGAAAAAAAATTAATTAATACAATGATTTTGTTTAAGGTGATCTATGGTTACAAGGATAGCCCATTGAGCATGAAATCTTGTTTCCAATGGTGTCCTATGAACCAAAAATGGAACAAGATGAAAACCAGAGAGACTTATTTTAATAAGAAAAAATAGATGATAAAATAATATAACTTCGAAATAATGTTACCATTTCTAAATGTAAGTTTTAAATATAAAGTTTATAAATGAACATGCAAAATATGGTCACTAGTTTCAGAAGCTTGACATTAACAGGCTTTATTATCACAGTAGGTTTACATAATCACAGAAAATTAAAAAAAAAAGGAATTATATAAGTTGTCTAAGAAGAGAATGGAATGAAAGGTGGCGTTCTTGGGATGCCACTCAATAACTGTTACAGAGAAAATCACTTTAATGTAGTGCAAGATGACTTGTAATTAACAGAGGTTTTGTATAAAAATGGATTTGTTATACATTTTACATTATACTATTACAATCTTAGTACCTTTATAGTAATAAGTGCCATTACATGTGTTATTACAATGAAGAATGGAAAAGTTTAACTTTTTTGATCTAGTGTTGTATTTGTGTATATCAGATATTCGAATATAGTTTGTTTTCATATTGGACATTAATTATCCCTATAACCCTATATTCACTAAAAAAATCCTTAGATTATGATTAAGTCTTAGTTGTTTTACCTTATTTTCAATATTTAATATGTTCTCATCTGTAAAATCATTGTTTTGAGCTATATAAAGTTTCTTTTCAGGTTTTTATTAAGACTTCTGTACCAGGAGAAGCAAGAATAGGAAATATTAAAGATAAACGAATCAGTTTTTTCCACAGTTGAAAGATAGACATCTACTATATATGTCTGTACAAGAAAAGCTTACTGTTTATTTAAGATATAACAGTAATAATTTCTCTTCCAGATAAAACATTTTTAATTTTCAAATCAAGATAATTGACTGTCTTAGTTGATTCAATAGTGTGACCATTACAAGTAAATTTCAACTTATTGACTTTTCTAATTTTTTCTTAGGACCAAAAATCATACGTTCAGTTTTTCCTAGGTGGAGAGACAGTTTATTATCAAAGCAGACAATCTGAGTAAGATTCAAGAGCTTTACCTAATTTATGTGACCCTGTTGGAGGCAACAGATTCAACATCTATGCGACCAGTTGCAGAGCCAGATCAGCCGGAACATCCGGGGCGTCTGATTCTGGTCTTTCTGGTCTTAAGTGTTCAATATCCAGTTAATAATCATTTTGAAAAATTTCCCAAATTTGAAGAATGGTTTTGTTCAGATTGAAACATTGATAAGTCAATTTAAGATATTGAAATTGACATTATACTCATTTTCTGCACTGTCAAGTTCTGAATTGAATTCAAAAGCTTCACTGGTATAATGGTGAATGGCCAACAATTATTATTGATATTGGGAAATAAAAATCTACCTAAAATACAAAAGACTACATTAATTGAAAGTAACAGGTAAAGTCCGATTGATATTTACAGAAACTTCTTTGGGCTACATTAATTATCGTCCATGAAAAGAAAATTATAGAATTTAAAGGAATTATGGCAAAATGTAAACTTATTTTAACTCTTCTTCACTCAATATTCTGGGGTAAGGATTAAAAGATGTTATCCGGAACTCGGCAAATATGGGTTTTTCCAAGCTGATACCCAGCTAAAATCGTTATATAGCTTCACGGTGCACTACTGGTGTCAACCTGTTACGCTTATTTTCGAAACTGTAACTATAAAAAATTGTTTGTAACCCCGGATTAGCTATGAAATAATTCAATATATTCTTAATTTAGGAAATTCACGCGAAAGATATTTTTCTGCACGTACCAGAGTTGTTTTGTTTTTGTTGCTGTTATTGTTGTTGTTGTTGTTACCCGATTATCCGTTTTATGAACATTATAGTTAAACGGTTATACATGCGGAAGTCGAATGAAAAAAATCCAGATATACTGTGTAAAATATCGATTAATATTATAGTATATTCTTCATTTTAAAGGTATAAAATTACGTTGTAAATAAAACAGTTATTCAAGCATTACACCATACTTTATCCTTAAATAAGACACCAGGAAATAGTCTAAATTAAACAATTACCTTACGGCTATGTACAAACTCCTTTAACTCTGGTCAGTGTATTAAATTATCCTTATGTATATATATATATATATAATCTTCCAAAGTTTTCTCCTAAAAAATCCAAAAATGAATCAGGCAAAGAAAATAACTGATAAATAATTTACCACACACACTCCGCTTTAAAGTTTAGTGACAAACGAAAATAAGAGTAAAATATCCTCAAAACTGCCTGTCACAATGCGTGTGCAATCAACACTTCACTAGAATCATTTGTTATATACATTAATCAATCATTTCTTCTCATCGTCGAAGTTTTGCCCCTGGTGTTTTACTTGTATGTTAGCCATGTTTTTAACTTTTAAACCTGCTAAATTGTTGAAATGTTTCAGGTGAACATGAAGTGGTGCGTGTCAGTTTTATTGAAAAATGTATGCTTGTTGTAGACGTTTTCAAGGTCCACAAAACATATAGAACGTTTTTAATCTATATCAATTATTTAACACGTGTATTTGACTTTAGATGTAGAATGTTTTGTTGTGTTAGCCGAGGGGTTTACGTCTTTGAAGTTTAGTAGAGGTGGGACAATATAAATTCATCATTTATAATGTGGGCAGTTAAATTTCTCATTTGTCTTGATAATAAAACTAATGTAGATGATGATTATGATGATGATGATGATGATGAGAAGATGATGATGATGATTATGACGACGAACCGTTTCCATGGTCGAGGGGTTAGAGTCGATGACTTCTAATCCAGTTACCTCTCTGGCGTGGGTTCGATCCCTGGGAGATGCTTTGGTAGTTTAGCGCGGAGGAAGGTAGTCTAGTACTGCATGGTGTAAGTCTCCAGGAACGATGGTTAGGAAACTACCCGCCTATATGACTGAAATACTGTTGGAAAAAGGAGTAAAATGAAAACAAACAAACAATTATGACGACGACGATGATGATTGGGATGATGATGATGGTGGTCTAAAAATGATCATTATGATGAATAACAAAATACCACCAGAGAAATTTTTCTAGCGATAGTTGTTTTGTTTTGTTTCTATTTCATTTATATTTTTTCATAATTTATTTATTTATTTTTGTTTGTTTGTTTGTTTGTTTTTTGTTGATGTTTTTTTTGCATTGTACGTTCACACTCGAATAAAATAAATATGAATGACATATTAATCATTTACTTTGACTTGCATTGTCTCGAAAAGTTCCTTTGACGTGAAATATTAAAATCACTGGCCTCAAGGCAGACCTTAAACCCAGCCAACATTCTATATCGGCCCGACATCAAACCGACATGGTTTTCTATGACGGCCCGATGTCGGCTTTAACCTCGGGTGCAAATAGGAATGATGTTGGCCCGACATCGGCAGCACAATATCGGGCCGCTATCTTAACGATATATGCCCGATATTTCTTGCCGACATCGGCCTACATCAAATCAATAGCGGTGCGATCTCAGCCAACAGTAGAAAGATATCGGTCCTATATCGACCAGGTATCATCCTTATGCTAGCATGTTGATGACATCTAGCAGCAAACACTTGGCATAAACTGCAAAAACACAAAATAAAAGATAATTATTTTACAAAATAAGATAATAAAGACTGAATGTTCAAATGACAATCACAACCATGATAATGCATGTCGCGAAATCATGTGACAAATATTTTCAAACATAATTTAACATCTTAAAAAAGAGACAAATAGATAAATTGTATTTTTCCAATAATTCTAAGTAGGCTAATTCTAAGTGTAAAAATCAAATTATTAACAGCGTTTACATTATTTGTTGAATCATCATTACATTTAAAAAAAACATGTTTTTCATCACCTTCCTTTGTTAGCTTTTCTTTTTGGCGCTTAATCTGTTAATTGTAGAACTGCAGTGAATATTTTCAAGCTTTTCATTTAAAATATAATAAAAGAGTGATTGTTATGTAGTCAAAACTTAAATATTGAATTTAAGTACAAACCACATATCATTTCCAAACTCAACTATGATTATTTTAAAAATTCATATCAAAATGTACAATTATTTGCTGCATGATTTTCAATTCAACAGAAAACGCAGTATCGTACGGATGTCAATCCGATATACAAAATAACTGCATTGATAGGTCATGTAGGCCCGACGCAGACCCGATGTATCTTTTTTGATGTAACACGAAATGTGGTGAATGTGGCTCTAGTAGTTGAAATCATACACGGGACAATTTATTCACATTATTAAGTAAACAATGCCTTTGCAATAAGAATTTTTCAAAATACACATTATGTCGACACTGCAGCGGCCCGACGTCGGCCAATAGTCGGCATAATTTGCCAGCATGCCGACATTAATCCAATATCGGCCCGATATGGTCATGCTGGCCGGGAAACAGTACCACAAAGATATATTATAACTAATTTTCATTGACATTTGAATTTTTTTCATTACATGTATCTTGATTAAGGAAGGCTTTGATTTTTAATTTTCAGATTGTTATCGCATGGCTAGGATTTTTTTCTTTGTTCCTTCTAAAACGTTATATTCAGCGCACTGTATTGGTATGTAACATTGCCGTTTTTTCATTGATTCATATACGAGAAAAACACTAAACTGATATATAACAATTGATTTTATTTTTATTTCATTATTCTTAGTTCATATTTGCTCTTGTAATGTATCAGTGAAGGTTTTTACAGAGGCTGGATTGAGGCGGAGGTATCACACATTCCCAGTAGCAAAAACAAAAACACATAGATTAATTAGCTGGCATTGGTTCATTATTTGTTTGGGTCGTCAGACCAAACAAATAATGGAAGCGAAATTTTAGACTCTAATGCTGTTAATTGCAATTGCCGAAAGTAGTCCTCTTCTTTGAAGCGGTTACTTCCCTTTATATGAACACTAACACCGAAAAATACAGGGGAGATCACTACGTAAAGATGGTCAAATGACAGGCGCATTAATTTGCAAGCAAAATAATTCCCGAATGGTCGAAGATTCCTAATATTGTTTTATTCTTTATAGATATACATGCTTATAGTAAGCTCCATGATTATTTACATCTGTGTTAAACAACAGTTAGCGTCGTTACAAACCCTAATTTAGAATAATGTGGTTTTCTTCATGTCGTTCACATATAAACTCACCGTGGCCGTTAGGTTTGCGCTCTCGCTTAGCAAGCGAGAGGTCTGGAGTTCAATACAAATCCCAGTTAAGGTAACTCATTTTTTTTTCAAATTGTTTAAGTCAAATAAGCATTGGATTGAATATCAGTGTTGCAATTAGTCTTATAGCCAATTTACTACAATTAAAACGCTGAATAGTATTGGTGGCACTATACAAAAACAAATTGGTTTATAATCTCACAATTAACCTTCACCTTTCTGACATTCTGAGACCCAAACAAATTCAACGCCTTCTGTGCTTTGATTTATTCTAGGATTCACATTTGAAACAAAAGGGAAATGGCACGGGTGTAAGAAAAGCAAAGCACTGATTTCTGTTGCAAATATATATATATATGAAATTGCGATAAAACATAATTATTTTTATTGATATAGGAAACTCGTTAATTACCGCGGTATAATATCATTATTTCACATATGGTGTTACACTGGAAATCTGGATCAGCGGAGATTCACATATTTTTTTAACCGATGCTAAATTTTGAAATTTAATCCCCGTGTTAATTTGTTTCATATATTCAGACATATTTTTTTTAAATCACAGATGTATACACAAATGTGCCGAAATACTTTATATTTCGTTGGATGTCAAATAAATACATTCGTTATTCGTAATTATACAAAGATAACACCCTTTGGCTTTGTTTATTGGTAGAACAAATTGCAATCCGAATCAACTCCAAGATGATTATCAATAATCGAAGAGGTGTTCCGAACGGATCGGCAGATGATTAAAGAACCAATACAACATTTCAGATAGGAAGTTCGCACGCATGCGGAACTGCAACTCGGGGAACACGCTTTTATTGCAGCACTTACATGACAGCTTGCATGGTGTTAACAAGCTGCCGGTGTCCTGACTGAAGTCGAGGGGGTATCTCTAGAAAGTAGGCAGGGACGACCAGGAAGGGTACTAAGATACGTGAGCCCCTAGTACGTAGTGACGGCTTTCGCCATCATAAGTTACTGTACGTTTATGAAGATCTCACAAAAATGGCTCATTGGCCGCTGTACAGTGACCTACTTTCGGTTCAGTAATTTTTTTTATTTTATTTTTCTTTGGGGGGGGGAGGGGGTTGAGGGGTTAAACTCTGTGGAAATTGCAAGGAGGCAAATTATCACCACTTTGCGCTTCATAATAAAACCTTAATGGGCCTGACTTGTGGTATGTCCGGGATCCGTACCCGAAAGTGAAAGCTACTTTTTTGCCTTGACGAATGGACCTGCATTAAACTTAGACTACAAATTATATCAATATAATATTAATAATCTTAATTTAAAGCATATATGGATAACACGATATTTTCATCTTGAATAAGACAAAAATACAAAAATTAATAGTATTTGGATTATGTTCTTAGTGACTGATTAAGAAACTATTGATACAGTAGTTATAATGATTGTTTGTTTGTTTGTTTTTCTGTTTCAACGCCGATTCTTATACATTTTAGCTGTACATCCGTCTAACCTGGATAACTAACCTAATTAAGTACACAAATTTCTCCGCAAGTGACTTGCCACTCATCTCGCTGGATTTCTGAATCAGTGATGAGATACGAATGATCATTAGACTAAACGCCCGTAATCAGTTGTCGCAGAGAAATTTCGCCTCACCCTTGGATTGAACCAGTTATCCCTAGAGAAATAATCCCGACAAGTACAAAATTCCAGTCGCTAAGTAAATATAGGTTGTTGAGCATTCAAAAATGGAAAAATCAAATATTTGCGTGGGGTTTGTGTCCTGCTGCTGCTGCCACCGCTGCCGCTTGTTTTCTTGCATATTCACCGTGCATATCAAGTAACGCTGGAATGTGCAAATAACGTAAAAGTTACGCCGAATCTGCGCAACGCTATTGCCAAAACGAATAACACAGTAAGTAAACGAGCCAAAATATTTTATTCTAAATCAAATTTAAAGAAATGAATAAGCGCATACGGCTTCTGCGACATTATACTTTAAAAAGCATTATAATTTTTGTTAGTAATATGTTTACTTTTTAGATCATTCGTGAGAAAGACAACCTGATTATTGTTTTGAATGTGAGTTTTGTGTTTCGTCAAATAAATGTGTACATTTAAAACATTTACAACTTTACTTTTTCATATTCTGTATACTTAAGACATTTGTCAAACTACAACTGTCGTATAACAATAGAAGGAAACTGGTAAAATTGGATTTAGCGACTTTTAAAGAGATAACCTCCGCTGCTTCAGTGTTTCATTCAC